GCGGTGGTATACGATTGGGGTAAGCGAGATAATAATTTCCGAGGGATCATTGATATGTATGCAGTATTAAAGCATTGACATTCGAACAAGAGGTAAATTGTTGTCATAACCTTTGCATCCTACTAAGAATACTTCAACAGTTCGAACTGATATTGGTGAGAAAAGTCCCAAACGGGATGATGCAGTTGACTCGGGTAGAGGCAACGTTGGTCCTTCATGACTATCCTTTATGTTTGCGTACGTCATTGCTATGACCGCAGTTGGCATGTTGTGCTGACTTCAACATATACTAGGTGCGTTACATTGGAATACTATATTCTGTGTACGTTTGCAAGGCTATCTATATAACACTGCACTGCTAATAAGTCATCTCTCGCAACCAGCGCCTACCTCCTGTGTACGTGTCCTCAAATGTGTTTGCTTCTTCTGACTGGCGGTATACAGTGAATCTCCCAATCTTGCTTACCGATACAGTGGGTGTTCTGCACCAATGCCTGTCATTCCAATTCTCATTCAACTACTAAATACGCTCCTATATAGGGGTGAGTGATATTCTCCGCCGGGTTGTATCTTCAAGATAACGACTTCGACAGCTGTGAGTATATTTGAAGTATTTATTCACCACCAAGTAACTGAGTTTTCAGGCACTATCGTTTGGTTCATACAGGCATGGGGCCCTGTCGTAGTAAATGCCATGCTGGGAGGTGAGTTCACCCGTGGTGCCTTATTATTGACTCGACTGAAATATCATTCAAGTCATCATGATTGCTCGGATAAATGCCATGTATCAAGGATCCAAAAAGTTACGCATCTTCCTTGTCGTAATGTTACTGGGTTCTACCATTGCCTCCGGAGTCATGACAATAATTGGAAACTTAGGTGTTTCAGCGCGTAAGCTTCAATTATCTATGAAAGCCAGGAGTACAAGAGACTCACAGTCATTACCAGATGAGGTCGTCCTTTCCGGCTACCATATGTGCTTTAGTGACATCGGCACGTACATGGGAAATCTGACTTACGAGAATGTGATATCCGTCGCTGTATGGGAGATCTTCGCATTGTTTCTTACGGTCCGGATTGTTATAATGCACTTCCGTGAGCTGCGACAATCGCCGAGACGACCGATCATTGGGGACTATTTCACGATATTAATAGAGAGTCATGCATTTTACTTTCTAGCGTGAGTCTGGTGATTTCAACATTACTTATCTAGTTTCACTGAAGTTCCGCATTTGTTAGCTTTGCTATTATGGCTTGCTTACAGCTTGGCACAACGTCTCCAAATATCGCGGTGTGCCAACTGGTATCTACAACTGACCACTCTCTTATCATCTCTTTGCAGCTCTCATCGTCGGTGGGGAGTGCTGTTTTCACTGGCATTTTGTCAATTTCCCAGATGTTGCAGATGTTTGTGCTAGGACCACGTCTGATCCTCAGTATTCGAGAATATCACGCCAAGCTCGTTGCCAGGGCCGACGGTGGAATAGGCATGACTTCCCTTGCTTTCCATGCTGGTGGAGATGCATTGACCAGCGAAGATGTATAGCACGTAAAACGATCCAAATGATCGACCATGGTGCTATACAGGGAGCATACATATTTATTTGTTTTGTTGTGATATTTTGCCTCGTATGTGTTTGGCGTTCCGAAGTGATTTGGAGGATGTAATTTTTTATACTTTCTCCTACCTGTGACACGGAGTCCCCTCTGGAGTGGCTACTCGGTGCTTGAAGCTCTACCAATCCACTCAATTACGAGGCCCCCGCGCAGAATCAGATGCCAAGCTATAATAACGGCCAATTCGCACTGCACGCGAGAGGGAGAAAGATATACATATACATCGACAGGAACATTCAAGTTGGGTGTCACGAAATTGCACAAAGTCTCATCGGTACAAACCCCCCAGAGCTCTTTGCGGAGTACTCAGATAAGGCATTCGCATGCCTGCTGATTGGAATATTTTCCCGACTAGAGCATTCAGTTCTTTGTATGCCGTACAAAAAACCGCGACAATGTGTATTTTGTTGTTGTGTTGCAAGTTTCAAAGTAGGCAAGTGCTGTTTTGGAGTCAGCTGAGACCTACTGCCACGATATGTTCAAAGTAGCTCATACCATTGTGATATGAATATGTATCGGAGGACAGTATCATGACAGGACGTCAAGATTGTAATTTGAATGGTAACGCCAAGTCGTAATGACAGACTCAACAAACTGGTGCGTTGACCCTCACTTCTGACACGAAGGTAGTAACCTCGAAATAGATTTACACTCACACCGAGACGCCAGTAAGTGTGAAGTACTAGCTTATCTGAGCACCACAGCAGGATTGTTCCATGCCAAATTGCAAATATCTTGCTCCACAAGGCAGATCTCAGGTGGCAATCTGCTGGCGTTGCAGATATCAGCTATTCGAAAGGTGATTCCAGTGGATAGGTTATCGTACATACTCACGATATTCAGCCTATAAAAGCAAGGCGCCTTCTATATCGTCCTTCTCAGAATTATTTTACTTTATCCTTTATCGCATCCTCACAACAATGCGTGTCTGTTTTGTCCCCGCCATTGTTGTCGCTTTGACAGCATTGGTATCTGCCAATGATACTCACTGCCCCATCTGGTGTGTCATCCCAAAAAATTGTAATACTGTACGTGCACCGAGAAAGCTTGCGTGAGTATGAGTAGTTTGTGTCCTGGATTTGACTATATGACTCACCGGCTGGCAGTTTCTCTTTATATGCTCCTAGCGTGGTAGTGAGTCGTGTTTTTGCTTTCACATCAGTGCAGTGTGGTTGATAACACGACGCGCAAGTTTAACGTGTTGTTGGGTTGATCAACAGATTTGCTTCTGAACATATTTTACGGCCGCTAGAGTGATGGAGATCTTGGAATGCATCATAGAGGATCCAAAGACTGTGTCTACATTCCGATATAGTTACCAAATAGCCATAGAGAACCGAGAGGTAGTAGTCAAAACACCTCAAGTCGACTGAGGAAGTATCGACGGCAGGGAAAGCTTCTGATACAAGAGAGAACAGTAAAATCACATTCGCATTAAAACTTTATTAAGATTACTAACCTGAGATTCCAATCTTCCCCTTTGCACACTTTCGCCGCTTGTTCGCCGCTTCGATGTTGATGGGCTTCCCGCGAAAGGTATTTTGCATACTTTCCCACACATCTAAAGCATGTACATCATGATCGATGATCGTTAGTACAATATTGCACTAGCAGATCCCACTATGTACTTCGTATTGGGAAACCCAGGACCCAGGTGCAACCAAGTGGCGTATCACGGTGGCCGCCGTTGCCTCCATACACAAAAGGTTAGTAGTATTATAGTACTGGTATCAATCAGATTCTGATTCGAGAAACGGACGCCCAAACTATAAAAGCGATGGTCGATGGCATAACTGCACGCACTCCATACACCCCAAATATCCCGATATGACCATAATCTCAGATGATCCCTCTTGGTGGCCGTTGATCAATTATGCTAGTATTTCCAGCTATTTTTCGGGTTCGTACTATGTACAGCAATTGGGGTGCCAATGGTGACGTCTCAATATATTTTACTGTCGCTTCACAGCTGTATGCATTGCTGCGGTGGTATACGATTGGGGTGAGCGAGCTAATACGTTCCGCGGGATCATTGATATGCATACCTCAGTATTCAAGTATCAACATTCGGACGAGAGGTAAGTTAATGTCATGACCTGCACATCTCACTAAGAATGCTTTGACAGTTCGAACTGATCTTGGTGAGCAAGTATCAGAACCAAACAGCATGATGCAATTAACTCGGGCAGAGGCAACGTTGGTCCTTCATGACCGTGCTTTATATTTGTGTACGTTATTGCTATGAGCGCAGTTGTTATGTTGTGCTGACTTCAACATATGCTAGGTGCGCTACATTGGAATACTAAATTCTGTGTACGTTTGCAAGGCTGTCTACATAACGCAATGCGCTAATAAGTCATCTCTCGCAACCAGTGTCTACCTCCTGTGTATGTATCCTCAAATATGTTCGCCTCTTCTGACTGGATTGGCGGTATGCAGTGAATCTCCCGATCTCGGTTACCGACGCAGTGGGTGTTTTGCACTCCCGTTCAACTACTAACTACACTCCTATATAGGGGTAAGTGATATTCTCCGCCAGATTGTGTCTTCAAGATAACGACTTCGACAGCTGTGAGTTCATTTAAAGTGTTTATTCCACCACCAAGTAACTGGGGTTTCAGGCACTATCATTTGGTTCATACAGACATGGACCCCTGTCATCGTCAATGCTATGCTGGGTAGTGAGCTCATCCGCGGTCTCCTTACTGATATTCACTTGACTGAAATATCATCCAAGTCATCATGATTGCCCGGATAAATGCCATGTATCAACGATCCAAAAAGTTGCTCATTTTTCTTGTTGTGTTGTTGGGTTCCACCATCACTTCTGGAGTCCTGACAGTAATTGGAAACCTGGGTGTTTCAGGGCGTAAGCTTCAATTATCGATGAAAGCTTGGAGTACAAGAAACTCATGGACATTTACCAGAGGAGGCCGTCCTTTCTGGCCACCACATCTGCATCACCTACACGGAGAGGTACATGCTAGATCGGACTTACGAGAGACTGATATCCACTACTGTATGGGAGATCCTTGCCTTGTTTCTTACAGTTTGGATTGTTATAAAGCACTTCCGTGAAACGCGACAAACGTCCACAGTATCGACCATTGGGGCCTGTTTCATGATTTTAGCAGAGAGTCATGTGTTTTACTTTCTAGCGTGAGTTCGGTTATTTGGGTGTTTTTGTCTGGTCTGACTGAAGCTCCGCATTTGTTAGCTTTGCTACTATGGCCTGTTTCACATTTGGTTTACTGTCTCCAAATACGGTGCGCTGACCTGTGACTGACATCTGCATCTGACCACTCTCTCATCATCTCTTTGCAGGACACATCGTCCGTGGGGAGTGTTGTTTACAATGGCATTTTGTCAATTTCCCAGATGTTGCAGACGTTTGTGCTGGGACCGCGTCTGATCCTCAGCATTCGAGAATATCACGCCAAGCTCGTGGCTAGGGCCGACGGGGGAACAGGCATATCATCGATTATTTTCCATGCTGGTGAACATGCGTTGACTGGCGGAGATGTGTAGCACACAAGACGATCCAAATGATTAACCACAGTACTGTGCGGGGAGCATGCATATTTAAGTATTTCGTTGTGATATTTAGGATAGTCACGCTATGTATTTGGTTTTCCGAAATGATTTGGAGGATAGAACTTCTCGTACTTGGCTCTGTATGCCTTATCGACAGCGAAAAGGAAAACTGCCGGTCATGCGACATCATCGTATCACCTGTCTGGAAAATGCCAGGATCTCACATCATCACTGATCAGATGTAGTATAGTTCAAGTGCCGATTCATCATCAAGCCGGGCACAGCAGTAGCACCACTGATAATGACAATAAAGGCTAGAGCGAGTCAGGATCAAGCTTTGTAAGTATGATCGCATAAATGCGAAATTCAATGCTGAGGTACAACATACATACCAGCGAACCGTTACTAATACCAAACGGACTCGGAGTTGTGACACGATCGCGTGGCTAAGTAAACGAAGGAATCGCCATGCAGTACCTGGAAGCAACAAGTACTATGAAATGGCAAGCAGTGAAAAGGTTTGCAACACCAAGCTAGTAGAAATGCGACACGGCGCAATCCAAGCGCAATCAGGCCTTACGCCCAGCTGTCATGTGTGATTAAATCAGGTACCGTCCCAGGCATCCTTCATGACCGTCCATTCTCTGTTAATACACCGCTTTGACACAACGAAGCCATGCAGTTAGATTAATACTTACGCGGTCATTGATGGGCCCATGTGTTTGGAGGCTTGCCGCCCACCGACTCGGAGTTGGATCTACTCATGTGTAGTACGCATAACTTTGATTTTTGAAGGTGTTTCCTTGATGAGCTGCACAAGCAATGGTGCGCCAAGTCCATCCTGTCAGTACACCACCGCATTAATATGATCAGATGATGTCTAAGACAATATTAATGATCCCCGATAGTCACCAGCTACAGCTATTAGTAGGCTCGTAACCACCCTGCGGTCAATGGCGTGTCAACCTCTAAATTTCAATTTCCACATTGCTGTCGACGAGACTGCACAAAATCTTGAAGCATCCTTCGCGTATATATAGGAATGACGGATGCATATGGGACGAGACCACCATTTGATGTCGTCGTTAGGAATGTCATATACATACTTAGTCTAGTACATCTGAGTCATCCGGTTCTGCCGGTTATAACCGGCAGCCTGAGAACTGACCCTGGCCTGCTACTACTATGTAGCAGTTCTACCCCCTACACTAGTTGACTCAATGCATATGGTCGCGGACACCCAAACTAATCACTATAAAAGCGATGGACAGCAATATTTCTACACGCATTTTTTACGTCCCAACCCGATGACCATAGTCTCAGATGATCCCACTTGGTGGTCGTTCATCAGTTATTCTTCTCTTATCAACTATTTTGTGGGTTCGTGGAGAGCAATTGCATTGTCAATGATGACATTTCAATATCGTTGACCATTGATTTGCAGCTGCAAGCTCCACTGTGGTGATATACGACCGGGGTGAGCGAGATGATACGTTTTGAGTGATCATTGATATGTATACAGTATTCAAGTGTTAACATTCGGACAAGAGGTAAGTTGATGTCATGACCTGCACATCTCACTAAGAATGCTTCAACAGTTCGAACTGATCTTGGTGAGCAAAGTTCTTATCAGAACCAAATATGTAGGACAATGCAGTTGACTCGGGCAGAGGCAACATTGGTCCCTCATGACTATTCTCTATATCTGTGTACGTTATTGCTGCGAGTGTAGTTGTTATGTTGCGCTGACTTCAACATATATTAGGTCCGCTACATTGGAATACTGTTTTCTGTGTGCGTTTGCAAGGCTATCTCACTGCAGTGTGCTAATAAGCCATCTCGCAACCAGCATTAACATCCTATGTATGCATCCTTATCCTCAAATGTATTTACTCCTTCTGACTAGCAGCATGCAGCAATCCTACCTGTCTCTATCATCGATGTAGTGGGTATTTTGCACCGATGCCTGCCATTCCCATTCAACTACTAACTACATAACACGTTCCTATATAGGAGTGAGTGATATCTTCTACTGTTTTCTACTGGTTTGTGTCCTCAAGAAACGATGAATTTAATAGCTGTGAGTTCAGTTCATTTGAAGTATTTGTTCCGCTACCAAGCAACTGGGGTTTCAGGCACTATGATATGGTACATAGGGATATGGACCCCTGTCATCGTCAATACCATGCTGGGAGGTGAGCCCACCTGCCGCTTCCTTACTGATGTCGACTTGACTGATATACCATTCAAAGTCACTATGATTGCTCGGATAAATGCCATGTATCAGGGATCCAAAAGGTTGTTTATCCTTCTTGTTGTAGCTTTGCTGGCTTGCACGATAGCCTCCGTTGTTATGGTGGTAATTGCAAACCTGGGCGTTTCAGCGCGTAAGTTTTCATTATCGATGAAAGCCTAGAGCACAAGAGACTCATGGATATTTACCAGAGGAGGCTGTCCTTTCCGGCTACGATATCTGCATCGACTACAATTACGTGGCAAATCTGAATTTCGAGAGTCTGGTATCCACCGCTGCATGGGAGATCCTCGCCTTGTTTCTTACGGTTTGGATGGTTATAAAACACATCCGTGAACTGCGACAATTGCCGACAGGATTGACCATCGGAGACTGTTTCACAATGTTAATAAAGAGTCACACGTTTTACTTTCTAGCGTGAGTTCGGTGATTTGGATGTTATCAACTTGTTTTACCGAAGTTCTGCATGTGCTAGCTTTGCTATTATGGTTTCCTTGAGACTTGGCGCACTGTCTCAAACTCTTACGGTACGCTGACCTACGACTGACATCTGCAGCTGACCACTCTTCTCATAAATTATCTGCAGGACTCATCGTCAGTAGGAAGTGATGTTTATTTTGGCATCTGGTCAATCGCCGAGGTGTTACAGATGTTTGTGCTGGGACCGCGTCTGATCCTCAGCATGCGAGACTATCACGCCAAGCTCGTGGCCAGGGCCGACGGGGAAATAGACATGACGTCCTTCAGTACTTTCCAGGCAGGTGGAGATGTGTTGACCGACGGATATGTGTAGCTGATTCAAATGATCGATCGATCGACCACGGTACTGTGCGGGGAGCATTATTTGATTGTTTCATTGTGATATTTAGCCTCGTTGTGCTATGTATTCGGTATTCCAAGGAGGATAGAACTTTTTACATATTCTGCTACCTGGGACATGGAGCTACGGAGTACTAGCTAATCGATACTTAATTACGAGGCCACAGCAGAAACAGATGCCAACTCAACCTATAATAACGGCTAACTTGTACAACACACGACAGACAAGCTAAGCGGTGCCCCACTGGGCCACCTTGTTACCAGATCACTCTTGTGTTTCGATTCGGTTTCGATTCATATCAATGTCTTATAGCAATTAATTGCACGTGGTCATGTATACACAGTCTACATATATGCCAGCCTAACCATGCCACGTCAAAAGACCATCGCCACACTCATCTACATGTATGCCAGCCCGCCCATACCACCTCAAAAGTCGCCCCACCCGTCCCCGAGCTCATATACAATATCTTGCGCCTCCTCACGAAAAATCCCCAACCTAAGACCAGCACATCACTTCGCCTTCAACTCCTCCCCAAGCTCTCTCACCCTCTTCTCCCACTCACACGACTCTTCAATCCGTGCCTCTAGCACACGTATCTCTTCAAGGACGCGCGCGAGGTATTTGGCTCCTGTGTCCTCTGTTGTTGGTTCACGTTCGTCATCCCCCGCAGTTGGTTCGCTTTCGCCAAGCGGTATCATCAGTCCGTTCTCACCACGCCCCTCATGAGTCCGAGGCGTAGCAATCCGGCTGAAGGTCCAACTGCCCGTTCCGTCACCCGTAAGAGTCAATATATGCGTGTGATACTTTGTCAGAGACGGTCTGCATGCGTCAACATTATCAGCATCGACACGTAAAAACCACGCAGAGACGCACCGCAAGGAAATGGTGATCAAGGTGATCCCTAATGCCTTTGCGTGCTCGTACATCTGGCCTTCGACGTCGGAGCTCACGGCGGATGTGCATTCTGTTGCGTTTTAGATTAGATCAGATGCCAGCAAGAGAGGTAAGAGACCCACCGTCTAGAATCGCGAATTTGGGACGATGGTAGTAAAGGCGAGCCATCGCAAGCTGTTAACAAGAATGTCAATATCATTCCATCTCGTTCCAGCACCAAAAAGAAAGAAACCCCAAACTCACCCTCTGCTTCTCCCCTCCACTCAACACATCCCTCCACTCCTTAACCGCATCCCACCCACCCTCTCTATCCACCAAATACCCAAGGTGAGCAGCATCCAGCAAGCTTTCGAGTTCTGACAGTGCTGCGGGGGACGCAGTGAACTCGGATACGGAGTGTGGGTATATGATTTGGGATAAGAGGGACCCTGTGGGGTGGTAGGGACGTTGGGGGATGACGAATACCCCTGGACGTCCATCTGCGTCGTCTGTGGGACGCGTAAGTGCATCATCAACAGGACACGCAACCGTGCCATCAGTACACATAGAGCCCCTGAGCATCGAACGACTTCCAGGCGCCCAAAGCCCTGCCAAAACACGCGCAACAGCCGTCTTCCCAACCCCGTTAGATCCTGTGATCATGAGGTGCATACCTGGTCGGAGCGTGAGCGTGAGTGCGCGGACGAGGGTGGTGTTTGGCCCTGAGAGAGTTTCTGAGGAAGTCGCTTCTAAGGATGGGACTGGGGCGATTTGTTCTGCGTGAGCTTGAAGCTTGGAAGTAGTAGCGAAGGAATGAGAAGGTATGGGTGAGGGTGAGTTGGGAGAGGTCAATGGATCCTCTGGAATGCATATATCCACGTCCTTCAACGCGAATGTATTACCGTCCCCTGAGAGTGCAAGAGGGAGAGTTGGGAGGTTGTGGAGAGTTGAAAAGAGGGTGTAGAGTCTTTTGGTGGATGGGTAAGTTCGTCGAGTGACCCATGAGACACAACGCAGAGGGAATAACACGAGCAATCCAAGAAACCAAAATGAGACCCATAAGCATACCCCCAAGCAACACAAAGCACTCACCGCGCAGTCAACCCAGCAACCTCTTGCAGATCTTTATATGCATACATGAGTCTCCCACCCGCGTCTGCGAGGGAGAGGAGAAGGCGGCGATTGGAGATGTAGGCTGTGTGAATTTGTTAGCTGCGTTTGCTCGTTGGGGGATATAGACAAAGGGGGATGAGGATCACGCCAAGCACCAAAATACTCACTTTCTGTCCTGGCAGCAACGATACCATCTGCATCGCTCTTCTGGTTTCGTCCCCGCTTTCCCTCTCCACTCTTTCCCTTTCCATCCACGACACCCGCATCACGGGAGCGCTTCCTCGTGATAAGCAACGGTACGGCTATCAACCCGTACCCAGCGGCGGACCAGAGGTATTTGATGACGAAATCTTCTGTCCATTCGTATGCGATGCGGATCTGTGAAGGTGTTAGTTTTGATGGGAGAGGTGAGTTTGGGATGAAGAGGGATGTGTGTAAGGAGAAGAAAACACAATGGGTGAGGGTAAAAATGGACAAGCGTTTGGTATGAGCAGAATGGTGATGTGTGGAAAGGTAGGAAGCAAATTCGAACGTACCTTATATATCGAATTGACATGTTTGATCAATCGCAAATACGTTCTCGTCAGTATATCTCGTTCGCGTGCGCCTCCGTCGTAGAACCTGCATTGATATCAGATGACGGCCATGGCAGACAGAAGGAAGTGCACTTACGCAACTTCTTCGCTTTCTCTCCCGACGCGTCCGACACCAGCTCTATATTCGCCTTCCAGACGAGCTTCTACAGCTGCGAGACGACCAAAGGCAGGTGTCACGGCACGGAGGATCTAGGTGGATATTAGGGTTGTTCCTAGGATACAGTGGTAGACAGACCTTGGCAGTAATATAATAATTGATGAAAAGTAGTACGGTGCCTCTGAATCCGAGAGACCTTGCGAGTTGAGAGGTGAAGAGAAGGAGGTCGAGGGAGGGTTTCATGAGATTGCCGCTAGTACAAAGAGTTAGTTCTGCCCAGGCGGAGGGACGAAAAACATACTAGATACCAGAGACACTCTCTGCCCAAGCGTCGACGTCGGCTGTGATGTACTGGTCGATGCCATGGAGGGGAACGCGGTAGTAACGGAGATAGGGCGCGGAGGAGAGGTAAAGGTCATGGATGTATCGAGTCAAGCGGGTTCTAAACCTGAGGGAGAGTGTAGATTGAAGGTGGCGAATCTGAAGAGAGTATAAATGGGGATAGAAGGGGAGTTTGGGAGGATACATACCATGGAGTTTGTATATATACTTGGTATAGCGAGTGCGAACCATAGAACGAGGCCGGTCAAGAACCCCTTGCCATCTGCACTGACCAAGTCCCTTACTATGCGACCATCTAGACGGGCGACAGCTATGCTCAGCACTGTACGAAGAACGAGAAATGTAGAGTGAGCAGTGAGTAGGAGCGCTTCACGAGTGTAAAGCGAAGGGAGGACGATTCGCAGGAGCGAACGGAGCTGGTGCACAAATGGAAGACCCAGTCCTGGAGTCGCATTCACCAGCGGAAAGTGAACAGCGTCGATGGCAAGCTCGCTTTGACTGTACGTTGGTGTACTGCTTGGCTTGTTCCTACTAAAGGGTTTAAACAGTCTAGACCGAAGAATGAGAACTGTTGCGATCAGAACAAGCAATGGTCGTCGTGATGACTGGTGTCGAAATAGTTCATTAGGGTTGAGCGGTTTCGAGAATATCGCCATGCTCGCTGTACGTTACAGCGAGCAGTGCAGGTGAACTTCAGCATGAAGCGCGCCTCGAACGAGCATGTGATTACTGGATCCGAGTCGGATCGGGTTGACTTGTACAATGTTTGGCCCAATCCTCACACTGAGCGGTGTTCCTTCATTGCAGTAACTACTCAGTCTTAAGAAGGCACAACTTAGGAACTCGGGCATACTTGGACGTTGAAACTTGCTAGTACGTTGTGTTGCATCTTTTCCTGATATTCACTTATGCTTACATTCATACAAGGATGTCAACCGACTCGACAAGTTCCCTTATTATGCCGACGTTCTGTCTAACATTAGTAGCAATAGACACAAATGGCACTGAACTATACGAACTTTATTAATCCAGTGCAGTGCTCGATCTCATTCCCTCGACCATCTTATCGCTGAATCGCTGAAATGACAACTTTTGTCCGGTCATGCCTAGGCGGCCCCTCACAAGTACTCTGAGCACTTCACTTGGACATGTAAAGTAACGAGTGACTCAAGGGGTTGATCGAGCGCCTGTTGCATGGCCGGCCGGTCACTACGACAAAGATCTCCAAAACCCTGCCAGACCTCGGTGTCAAGTAATTCGATATTTCATCTCAGTCTTTACACATCAAGTTGAGCTCCATCCGTATAACTTATCTCTGGAAAACAGCTCGATCCTGATGTTCATCCAACGCTGTAACAGATAGAAGCTTTCAAACCGATGTGGTTGCTTCAAGGACAATGCACTCACGTGTTTCATGGTCCACATCCACTAGTGACCTCCACAAAGCGTCCCTGTACGAACGCCACAAACGGCTGTCTACCGCAAAGCACAGTGGAATGACCACAGTCGGGAATCGTTTATATACCTCCCCCAATCCCTCCCCGGTGCCATCACCCCGAGTTGAAACATACATTCACCTCAGACAGAATCAAGTAGCAGCACCATTCATATTCTTCTATAATCAATCATGTCTAAGGTAGGCCTAATCACACGTATACTTCGTGCACTAACTTGAATACTGACTCGGACGCGGAATATTTAGATCTACACTTGCTCTGCTCATCCTGGCTGCAACGCAACTTTTACCAGGTTCATCGACTTCAAGAGACACGAGGCCGCATATTCATTAGGGTACGTTTTTCTCCTGTATGCTATATAGCCTACCTCACTCACATTCGCTTACACAGTGGGTATATCTGCACCTGGCCCGGCTGCGACTTTGCGACTAAGAGGAAATTTAACTATGAAATCCATTCTGCTAAGCAGTACGTGTTCATTCGTCACTATCATCGATTCCACCTTGTCAACATTTTTTTAGTACGGGCGAGCAACGCTACATCTGTCCTCACGATGATTGTAACTACAAGACCCACGACCCCGCCGGCTTCACGCGCCACCGCCAGAAACAACATGGGTATGTTGCTCTGCCGCGCGGTCGTGGTGCCCCCTCCACAAAAGGGTCAGGCAGGATTAAACTGTCATCCCAGTCCCCGGCACAGCCCCAGCCCTCGGCAGAGTCTCTTCCCCCTGCTACATTTCCCCAATACCAACTCCAACTCCAACCCATGCAACTGCAGCCCATGCCACCGCAGCCCATGCCACCGCAACCCATGCAACTGCAACCCATGCAACTGCAGCCCGTGCCACCGCAGCCCATGCTGCCGCAACCCATGCAACTGCAACCCATGCCACCGCAGCCCATTCAACTGCAGCTCATGCAATCGCAACCCATTCAATCGCAACCCATGCCACCCCGGTCCATGCAACCTCTTCCCACTGAACATAAACTCCAATCCACTCAAGACCGAACCCCTCCACCTGTCTACGACTCATCATTGGGAGTCTTATACGGCTCAACAGATACCGCGGACGACTACACCATGTATACTCCACCCGCGAGGACCTCCAACGGGTGGACTGAGGGATGCATGTGTCCTGAATTGATGCAGATATACCCTTCGGAGATGCTAGGGTATGAGTATTAGCGTCATTAGTTTTCATGATCTTTAGACGTCACAATCATTTGTGATCTTTTCATTCCTTTCGTTCGTTTATGTATGGCCTCGGATTCTGCTTGTTTGTATGACTCACTTATCACTTCTTTGTGTCAAAGCAATACATTATTTTGTCAATGTAACACATTTCAAGTTGTAATTGAAACATTTACCTCTCGATTCGCGCTCTCAGCGCTCCGAGTCATGCTCCGCTACCAAACTCTGTATAGATTCTAATAATAGGCAAGCAATTATGTAAAGGCTTCTTGCTAAAAATAATGACTCCCTTGACGACTTGCGGGTGCCAACGGTCTGACACGAGGTCATGTCAATTCCAGTAGTACATGCGGGTACCCTTCTAGACCCTTGGATCCGATGCAAATTCGATATGATAAACAAGCCGGTCCAAACTATGGGTCCAGAAATGCCTGAAACTTGACCCTGGGGTCAAGTAACAACCGTCGGAAAATTCAACAAGCTGCAGTGCATGTGCGTAGGGAGCCGTTCTTGTATCAACAAATGAATCTAGTCCTTCTAATGATGCTTCTCACATGGCTTGGACGATGAAGCTCTCCGACCACGTTGTATCGCGTCTCAAAATTTCAAACAAAGTTAATTTCAATATCTCGAGTTCGAATTTTCCGTTCCCGCCAAATGAAAATCCATTCGTTCATGCACTATTCCAAATTCAAACTTTACCAGTCCTTCTATCGACGGTTTGCCTCATAGACGGACTGGTTACCGGTCCAGGGTACCTTGCAAGCTTTGCAGTTCCTCGTACATGTGCCCGTGCCAAGGATGGGCCAAACACAGGTACCCATACCCGTACCACCCGACTCACATTCACCGACAGATGCGTACCCGGGTTAGCCTTGTCAGTGTCATACCCTACGCTAGCGCTGATTCTAATCTCGTACAGATGATCAATGCCAATCTTTTGAGTAACGCAACGCGGATGCGCCAGTTATAAAGAGAGGACGCAGCCTCTGAGTCTCACCGGTTACTGATCGGCCCTACCTGACAACTTACAGATACCGCGCTGAAGAAAAAGAGGTCGTCTATTCAAAGCTCTCTGGATCTACAGACGGCCTGAATGAGGCGGCGTAGCTGGACTCCGAGTAGATCTGATGGGAGGATGAAGGCAGGTGTCCTAATTGGTGTCTACATCATGATGACTAAGTCCTTCTAGTTGTAATTACCGTAGCTTCTATCGTGACCGGCTATTCAACTTGTGATTAACCTACAGCTCATCTGATACCTTGTATATCTCACGCTTGACAGCTACAGCAAAGAGCTGAGCGTTCTTCTTGATCATGCATATGCATCAACGTCCAACTTGGAAACATTCTGATATCTTGAATCTCTCACACAGGCCCCGAACACCCCGAACATCCCAACCAGGCAAGCCTGAGGGTGTCGCACTGCTTCATGTCATGTTTGGTTCTACGACATGATGGTCCTCACGGTAGAATTAGACCTGCCTTCACGCACTCAAAAACATAAGGCTGACACACAGACAGGGATCTCCGCAGCTGAGCGCTCGGCTTGAAGTTTTTTGTTTTGTTCTAGTATTTGCTACATAATCGTAGTACCGCGACGCGCCAGTTTCTGGGGAGCGAAAAGCATACTCTCTATATCTGGCGAGTCGGATCTTTGCAATGGTCCGACACACTTTAGGATTTTGCAATACTGGTCAGACACGCGAATCAGACCCCTGATAGGCCAGTGGGTAGATACTCGTTATCTTTGTTCAATGTGCGCCGTACAACATGTACTCATAGGTAAGGAGAAAGACGAGTCTATTTAGGAGTCACGTTTATTAGGTTTGCTATTATCGACATTTCCAAATTCCAATGGCTAGGTACATTATTATCAAGGACTCGTAAACACAGCTATGGTGAAACATATATGGACAATGAAATCCATCAGGTGCGTCACTACAATATCACAGCATCATGCATCCGATGTTCCTTTATAATAGGTTCAACTTACTGTTCTCAGTACTCTCCACTCTTTCATTGAACTCCATGGCCTTATTCTATCCCACTGAGGTGCGCTTTATAAATTATGAATTCTTGCCGTATTATTTCACTAAGCTGGCCTTTCCAGTTATATGTGACTACTCACCACAGAGCACTTGCTGTAGAACAACCCCTCCCCGAAACCCTTCGTCGCACGTCCCTCCTAACGAGGGTACTCTGTTTTTTGGCACTTGGACGCCCAGATCTTGATGATCATTGGAAGTCGCTGCAATCAGAGAGAGCCTTCGAAACCGTTAGGAGCAGGTCATGCTCTATCCTGACCAGCACTATCACCACAGTAAGCTGTCCATCTCGGCGCGAGCTCAGGCCGACGCTGATATACTCCAAAAAAGGCAACTGTCCTCCTAGCTACAAGTGGTGTTTTCGTCAGTACGGGCTCTCCTGTGCCGTACTTTGATTATTCATCACCTGCTCCCTATTGTCTACTCCTTATGTCTCTCATGCTCGCCATGATTGCGATGTTGATATCCGGCTCGAGCACGGTACGTTGGCTACACACCGATCGCCACTGGACTCAAGAAGTAAGTTCTAATCTCGTCATGCTGACTCTTCGGACACCGGCTAACCTAATTATAATCAGCAACTCACGGAAGGCGACTACTTCGTCTTGTCCTACCTGTTGTCGATAGTCACGCCTATATTCTTCGTTGTCTTATCCCTGAATTGTTTTATGTTTGGTAAGTCGTTTCGTCAATCGGTGCCTTCCCTGGTCCCTCATGCACTTCACCCTCAGCGATGTTGATAGCAGGCTTTTCCTCTCGAAGTATGGTCTACCGCACCGTCACTACGCTCTAGCTGGTCACATACGTTGTCAACATTGGGGCAATATTCATGGAATTTATGTGGAAATATGCAAAAGGGCATCAAATCACGCTAAATGTCGATAGTAGTTTCCACTTTGTTCATTCTTAGTCCCGAATCGTGATATTGTACACTGTAATCGACGCTTCATCTTTGTATTTTTGTTGTTAAATAATGGATCGGTGGTTATGCAGTTTTTCATGCCCTCTAGAAGATCTGACAAAAATATAAGTCGAGAATATGGCTATATAATGAGTGTAATGGGAAAAACTTGCCTTTTGCTAATGTGTACGCATCTGATGTTACAGGAACCAAACAACGAGTCCGTTACCTATAGTACAGTGAACCTCATATTCCGGGTGAGACCGGCGGAATGACGGGTTGCGAGTGGAGCCTGGGGGAGGCGAGAACCGCAGCTGGACGCATGTGGCGAAGGTGGAAGCTTCGGCGCCCCGAAGTGTTGGAGCGTCAAGCACATCTCACTTTCTTCCACCGAGTTAAATCCCGATGGGTCAGTGTTTCAGCGATACAGCTGCCTCACCGATTTCGTCAACAGGCCAGGTCAGAAATATATTTCATGATGCTTCTCATGAGTGATTAGACAGTACTCCCCAGGTGTCGAAGACGAGCAGCTCACCGCTGAAGATATCAAGCGTGGCTTAGGCCTAACAGCCAAACACCTGAAAAGCAAGAAAAAACAGATAACCGTCGTGGCTGTTGGAGGTGCAATAAACATGATTCTTCTTCGTGCGTATTCGTTCAACGATCTCCTAATGATGATGCAACTGACAATCTCGTACAAACTCCCGTGTTTCTACGGCGGATGTAGAGTTGATGCTGAAAACATTGCTGTCTTGTGAGATGGATCCAGCTTGGTGAAGGGTGGACGAACAACCACACTGCACTTTTCATTGCTCCCAACACTAAAACCAACCTCTACAACGAAGCAATTAGCGATGGTGTAGTCATATTTGATGAGCCTGGGCTTCAGGTACTCGCTGCGCCCTGGATGTATTGTCTAGTAGCCAAATTAGAGAAGGCCGAAAAGAAAGGGAACGCGAAGTCCTATGATATGTCCGATGCGTCGCAATACCTCATCCAAGAATCCAAGAGGAGGGGAGCGAAAATCAAGGTCGCAGACATTGAGGCGAAAGCGATCGCGTACGGGGCCAAAATTCAGGAAGCGCAGATCAAGGAGTTAAAGGCTTTGTGTGGAGGATATGTAGATGGGTGAATCAGTTTAGCGACGAGCACACACTTTCCTGTAGTACAAGTGTATGATAGTACAAGGATATGGGCATGACGTGTTAACCCATACTTGTAAGTGGGTAGAGAGCTGGCGGTACGAACACGTTACTAGTCAGTGGGTAAATGCGATAGTGGATTTCGATGTCTTATATATCAATGACGACAGGAGGCCGGATATCACGGTCTCGCGGACCTCCTACCACAGATGCATTGACAGCAACTGTCCTTATACCATTATCCCGGCCACCCCAAAGTATCGCCCATAGCAAATGCATAGTTTGAAACCAACCCCCTTTCTTGAGCACCATGTCCTCCCATATTGACTGAGCAGAGTTCCAGGGCATATTCTCGATTCCACGACCGCCATGAATGTGTCCGAACACATGAAGCACTGGCGGGTGTGTCCTACCGAGCTCCCATATACGTGCAAGCAGGGCTCTGCAACCAAGTCCAACAAGATCGAGATGACCGTGAGGAGGACCATGAGTGATCAGAATATCTGTATCGTTTGGAATGACAGACCAACGGCTGGGAGTGCCAGTGACACCCGTACGTGGGTATTGGAAAGCACCATTGCCGTGCTGCGGAGTGAATGGGCTGCCAAAGATTTTGAATGCGCGACCGCGCACTTGGATAGTGTGAGCCTCGTCCTCCAGATAGATTATGCCACGATCCCGCCATGTGTGGACCCATGAACGACCCTCGGCTGTCTGAAGGTACGTATCGTGGTTACCGGCTATAACGATTTTGTGTTCATGCGGAAGGGAGACTAGCCAGTCAAAGGTGACCTGGAGCTCACTGGGAGTGCCAGAATGAGTGAGATCACCTGCGTGAATGAGGATATCACCGGGTGGTATCAGGGCAGATATGTCGGTGTTGTGAGTGTCTGATATGCATATGGTGCGGACGGGAGAAGACAAAGGACGTAGCAGTTGTTGGTTGAGACCATTATACAGCTTTGAAGCTATATAAAGACTAGGATTTGTCTTGAACAGCTCCCATGGACTAGGAGCTTTGCGATTAATGATTGCATCGAAGCCAGACATGCTCGTTCGAAAAGGATCAATCCATACGCCCGTGAGGAAAAGCGCCGCTGAAGATCAAATGGCGTATTAGTAAGCAGGATATATATAAATTTTGAAACTAGCTTGAATCGTTTGGTTGTTCCAAAATCATAGAGTCCTCAGCCAGATGCTCGCGCTGCGTTTCTTGACCTGGAGCCTATATCAATGCTTGAGTTGCAATATGCCGAATTAAATTTGACGGAGATGACTCTAGCTTGATAAGACTTGGGCTTGAGTCTGCTATCTTCGACACTGAGGAGGCGTGCTGGAGCATACAAATAATTTGCGTGGGACCGACTACTAGTACGTATCTCGATGGACGTCATCCACCAGCATTCAGAATTTTTCATTGGACTAGCTGCTCTCGTATCTGACAATTTTAATATCAGCTACTGGAACATCTGCCATCACGGTTTTCTGCCAATAGCATGGAGATACTCGTCAAACAGCCGCTCAATCGGTTGCCTTATAGGCGTCGCACTATCCAAAATGCTCGGACTCCCAAGCATCCCAGCTCTTGCTCACCCATCCACCATCACGTTCCCCCACCATAACATCCAGCACATCCATCCCATCCAGCCACCTGTCTTGTTCCCCGAAACAGCACGCTCAATGACCATCCCAGTGCCCATCATTCCAAATGGCAGCATCATGCGCCACATCTCCTAGGACGCGTCGAAGGGGAGTAGTGCAAGGTGATGAATGAACCCAAAGACGAGTAACGCCCCTACGACGCCCCCGATACGCCCAAAGAGTAGAGAAAGTGGGTTTCCCCCGAGGAAAATGATTGTCCGACGCAACCACTGATGCCAGCGACGGCTCCAGAATTCTCTGAGAGAGGTGGCGCGCCAGGGAGAGTCGATTAAGGGCGGGCATTGCTCTGGATGTTGCCTGAATATCAGTACGCAAATAACTACGATGATATCTTAATTGGCTTTGATTATGAGTAGATGGCGAATGCGCATAGCGTCGCGATGATGCTCGATCGTAAATAACGGAGGTGTGGGGAAAGTGAGTCGTCGAAGATGGTACCACCATCAACAGATCCAAATGTATCTGGAGAGAAAGACTTCATGGCAGAGTGAATTGCGCCCCAAAGAAATGAGTGCTTTAGACCAGAAACTAGGGCGGATGTAACAAAGGCCAATCCTGACGATGTAGGATGTGTCTCAGGCGGGATGTACAATCCCTGCAACCAGTCCCAGCCACAGCCTCGAGAGTTGCATACCAAATCAATTGCGTCGAGCACAATATTTCGCTTTGGCACGTCGGTTGACGATCGGCGAGCCACACGAATAAAGGATTCCGTCTGTCCATTCAAAGGTGCGTGCTGCAATACAAAACATGGATAGCTGAGAGTTAAGTTCAATGATGTGGAGTTAATGCAAATACGACAGGAACTCACCTGCAGGTCGATATTCAAAAAGGCAAGTTTCGGTTGCTCCATGCACATGTCTAGCGATGTCGCCGCGCGAAATGCAAGGATCGCGGTGACGGGCCATAACGCGATGCGGACTGGCTGCGTTGGGGGCAGTAGGACAAAACTGTGACGAAGTAACCTGTGACTGGTGGAAGGACACGAGAAGCGAAGGTCTTGGTTGTGAGTAGTCGGGAGAAGTCCAGTCGCTATTCATTCGCTCAACAGAAGTCAACAGACATGCTATATAACATCTTTCGCACAGACATCGTGATGAGTTGGTTCCGCTTATGACTTCTATTCCCTCTGATCTTTCTGAGCTTGGGTGTGTGATAGTTGAAGATTGGGTGCTGGTGTACGGTCCAATTTGTCTGGCGCGAGAGTTCAATAGGCATCTACTTCTTCAAGGGCAGACATGGGCGGCAGGCTTTGCTTGGGACGACGATGACAAGTCCCTCGACGAGGCGCCGGAATTTGGAGAGTACGACTTCGATGATCCAGGAAGCGCTGGTTGGGAAAGATTGTTCACGAGGCACAGTGCCGCTCCCATGAAGTTCTACTATCGCTAAGTAGTTGTAAATGGCACAATGTCAAGTTGGGCATACTTGGACGTCAAAACTTGCTGGTACGTTATGTTCCTGATATTCAATTATGCTTATATTCATGCCAGGGTGTCAACCGCAGACTCAACAAATCCCCTCTTTGCTCCATTGACGTACTACAGGCTAACTTTACTAGTAGCAATAGACAAAAATGCACTGTCGGACCTGCACAGACTCTGATCAATCGCGCGTCTGATCCCATTCCTTTGACCATCTCACTGCTAAAATCGACAACTCTCGCCTGGTCTTGCATATAAGGACCGAAATTTTTTCAAAGCACCTAGTGAATTAAAGGATTGGCCGAGTGAGTGCCTGTTGCATGGCCCAGGCCGGTCACAACAACAAAGACCTCCAGAAATGTTTTGGATCTCGGTGTCGACATCCATGTCGGTCTTCACTCGATTCTCCACGTTAAATTTCGATCGACGTGCACATCTCTGGCAAATAACTCTATCCTGGTGTTCGCTCGATGCCGTAACAGATCATGAAGCATTCAAATGGATGTGGTTGCTTCAACAATGCATTCACGCGTTACATGGCCACATCCACTAGTAACCTCCACAAAGTATCCTTGTACGAATTCCACAAGCGTCTGTCCACTGAAAACCACAACTCTGCATGTGTTTGTCCATCGCAAAGCACAATACCATGACCACAGCAGGGAATCGTATATATACCTACCCTGCTCCTTACCCAGCACCATCATCCGCTCGAGTTGAATCGTACATTCACCTCACAAGTAGTATCCTCACTGATATTCTTATATAACCAATCATGCCAAAGGTAAGCCTAATCAGGCGCATACTTCGTGCATTAACTTGAAGACTAACTCTTGTAATATTTAGATCTACACTTGCTCTCACTGCAACCAAACTTTTCCCAAGTTCGCCGACTGCAAGATACACGAGGCCCTGCATTCACCAACAGAGTACGTGTTTTTTTCCCTATGGTATGCAGCTCACCTCACTTATATTCGCTCACGCAGTGCGTACTTCTGCACCTGGGGCGGCGGGTGTAACTTTGTGACGTTGAATAAATCAAGCTTCATTGTCCATACTGATGGACAGTACGTTGTCATTCATCACGATCATCGATTCCATCTGATCAACAATTTTATTTCATTTCATTTTAGTACGGGCGAGCAACGCTACATCTGTCCCCATGATGGCTGTAACTACAGAACTCACATCCCTTCCAGCCTCACGTACCATCGCAAGAAAGAACATGGGTATGTTCCTCGGCCGTGCAATCGTCGCGGTCCCTCTGCAACAGATTCATCCGGGGCCCAGTCGTCGTCCCAGCCTCCGCCGGCGGCAGAGCCCCTTCCACTTACATTCCACCAATACCAACCCCAACCCATGCAACCGCAGGCCATGCAATCCTATCCCACCCAATACCAACCCCAATCCACTCAATATCAGCCTCCCCCGCCTATCCACAACCAGTCGCTGGGAGCCTTATACGGCCCAGCAGATACCGCGGGCGACTATACCATGTATACCGGACCCGCGATGGCCCCAAATGGGTGGACTGAGGGATGCATGTTTCCTGAGATGATGCAGAGACGCCCTTCGGAGATGCCAGGGTATGAGTATAGGTGTGCTTAGCTTTACGTCATCTCAAGAATCCAGCGTCATTTTGTGTCGCTTTTTTCTTTCTTTCTTCCTTTCTTGGTGATGGTTGTTCTTTGGTTTTCCGTTTGTTTGTGCACCATGAGGAACTCTGGGCACCCTTCCACTCATTTATATATTTCATTTATCACTACGATGTTTCCCCTTTCTTGGTGATGGTTGTTCTTTGGTTTATCATTTGTTTGTGCACCATGATGAACTCTGGGCACCCTTCCACTCGTTTATATATTTCATTTACCCCTTTGCGATGTTTTCCCTGGAGGATAATACATTCTTTTATATGTAATCCGTTCTAAGTTGTGAATGTTCGCCTCCCTCCAGTTTGATTCAGGCGCGATCACTGCTCATTAATCATCCCCCGTGTAGTTGAGGAAGAAACGTACTCAGTCAGTAGGTGCTTTGACACAAAGTCAGCAGTTCCAAAGTCCCAATAGATGTTTTATGCATACATGCGACCTTCTGATTAGATTGTGTAAACACTGGTGCGAGGACGGTAGCCTCTACACAGAAAAACGGACCGATCGAGAGTACGGTATCGTGTAAAATTAGGACCTTTTTTTGGCTTTACATAACCAACGAATATTGTCATGATCCACACATGAGGGTCCTTGCTTGCCTTCACACTGGTTACAAGCGCGTCCGGTGATCGAGGGTGGATGTGCTTCACGAGGATGACTTATACCATGAGTGGTATCGGTTGTAGGCGGTTCCGTCGACTGCACGTTCCAGGTCCCTCAACAGATGATTCCAATTTGGACAGAAAGTAACACCAGAGTCTCGGATGGCACAAATGTTGCTGCCTGGAGCTACCTTCTGGCAGACAGTTGCAAGACAGTCCCGCATCATCACCATGCCCTTCTCGATCATGGTATCGACCGCATCCATATCTTGTTTCGGAAATAAGGTCTGCAGCGAATGTATCAATAAAGCAACTCAGATGAGTATTCTGTAGATATAATTACGCCACGTGCCAACAATTCATTGTCAACATCAATGTTGATCGGCTCGTCTCCCCGGACCCAAACGTGGAATCGAACAGATGCGAGGTGACATCATGTATGGCCTGCGACTACGACGGGTTGATCAAGAGATTGTGCTGCAATACCTTGAAGCGAAAGGAATGAAGAGCGTGAAAGATTGTCCTGGAGTAGCATCTGCCATGCTTCTGACATACGTCCAGGTGAGCGATATGGTTGATGTTCTTCAATCACAACCATTATGACCATCAAGACTTCTGGATGGGAGGCGATTTCATATTTGATTTTCCGAAGAACAGAATCTGTGTCCTGGGCGAATGCACATTCCCCGACGACAAGGACCTTGGGCTCATGCCAAATCCTATTCTTGGTGATCACATTCATCGTAATCGACAGGTCTGGAACAGCAGATGCAGAGATCAGCGTAAGGACCCTGGATACTGTGATGTCCACAGAGTAGTCCGAGTCACAGCGTTCGAGATCATACATAAAACGACGGAATATTGAATCCAGGTGAAGGAATGGAACTTCGTGAATACTGTTGAACTTTTCGACGAGGAGGATGTGTTCGTCCTCGAAGTAACTCAATCTACGATGATGTGGTGTTAGTCATGAGAAGTAAGACATTCATCCTAACCTTGACCTTCCTGGTACTGTATCATTCTCTTCGATGATGTGCTCTACTGTCGAGTATACCCCATAATAAACATCAGAAAACTCCTGTTACGATGATCAAATGACTGTTCGCGCTCCGCCCATGAATTCGAACATACCGCAGACTCTTGCTCAGGGTTTGGCTCCGTAAGGAACTCCAACACGTCCCTACATTGATCTTGAAGATTGAACATCGCAAATAAGCGCAAGCCTTGGGTAAGTGTAGGCTACAAATACCAAAATCAATGGGGTCGAGTTTGGCGACTTGTCTGAAAGTGTCCTCCAAAATCAAGTCATCTGGCAGTGAATCCGAGTCTGATGCTGAACTCCCAACAGCAGGATCTGAATCTGAGTCTGATGCTGGACTCCCGATAGCAGAGGGCATGTTGTAAAGAAGCCCGGTTTTGCTCTGTATTGTTCTAGGTGCGCAAGGTTGTGTATCAACTGTCTCAATCTATTTGATAGGGGTGTTCCGGCAATGCTCTTGAACTCCGACTATGAATTTCAAACGTGTCCGCGGAGGTTAAAATATTTAGTTGTCAGCAAGATGTGAGGTCCGCGCGGCCATCTTCATACCTTGATCGCTCCTTGGTGCAATCTATAGAACTTGTAGAGAACTGCCCCAACATTCAAAGATTAATTCAAAAAGGCGCCTGAAAATTCAAGATGAACAGCTGACTGTCTAGCAGGTCTCTTCATCACTTTCACCATCTCTCCTCGCTTACGACAATTCGATGTCTGTAGTATCGAACTCTGTCAACGCGTCTGTACAGCCTGAGAGTGTGATAATTAAAAACTTTCTTTGTCAGTGACATGGCCGAGTCGGGCACATCAGCACAATGAAGAGGTGGAGAAAGAAGAGGATATCGGGCTCACCGGTGGACGGCGCACTTCGTCACATGAAGGAGAAGGATCCACCACCCTATGGCACCCAGTATCGTCGAGATATACTTTAGGAAGGTGAGTGATTACATTTTAATACCTATTGACTTACTCGACGAGAAGCAAGCGGTATGAACTGATTCCTCTTCAATGGTGGCAGTATAAGATGTTTAAGAACGACACGAGAAGCTGAACTCAATATTATTGGATCGAGCAATCTTTGAAACGCTTAGACACACCATGACGATGAATAATTATTCGGTGAGGATTTATTTTTCTGTTACATTTCACTTTGATAGGGAGATATATGATCTTTCATTTGATCATGCATGGAGTGCGTGGATGCGCGTGCTCGAATGAGAAAGTAGTTATGGAGGTATGTATCACTCATACTAGTCGATCGCACTACTGAATCCTTCGCCACAGTTCCGGACCCAACGCTCATCCGACAATTTTCTTGCATCGCTCTGCAGTGGCCGGCTGCTGAAGGACCTACGTGTCACAGTTTCATCTGAACATGAGGCAACCGCGCTCCATGAAGGTGAGTTCATGTCCTTTGACAACATCATCTGCATCTCAGATGTAGAAGCTCCGCCCATCGCCCGGACTTCCCCGGAATCGGAGGCTGAGACTGCGAAGCTTATGCTAGGGAAACTCGGATGGTCTATCGAGAACTGATGATCTAGAAGGGCAGAATGACACGGAGCGTGAGGAAGGAGACAGACGACGCTGACCAAGACAACACTAATTTGCTTCCGGTGGACAAATTTCTTGATTTCAGCGCTATGATCTACACCTCTGCCAAAAAAAAGGCAATTGCAATAAGCAGATAAATGTTTTTAATAAGTCTGCATCTGTCACCCCATCTTTATCTTCGTGTGCATATCAACGAATGGATGTGACCGGGGCAGCTGAGCGCAGAACCTTGTCTAGATTTGTCCCTGTGGAACACCCTCACCTCCCCCAGTCGACATTTAGATGCTGGTCTCCCGGATATTTGCATCTCATGCCAATTGTTCCTCACGCTTTACAAGCATCTACCAAGTCAGAGATGGCTGATGATTCAGTATCGATTTCGTTGAGGTCTTGATACTCCCCACTTCTGTGCATGCGCTGCCCGTAACTTCCTCTATTCCAAGACTCCAACGCAGCAGGCAAGTCATGATTACAAACCTAACTACTGACCAAATCTCTCCAGCATGTTGCTGGCTGCAGTCCTCAACTCCTTCGCAGCATCGATGATCCCCTCAACCTGCTCTAAATCTTGCATCTCCTGTCCCATCTCATGTAGTCGCCTCTTCTCTTGCACGTCCCGCTCCAACCTTTCGACAAATTAATCCACGTTTGGGATGAGCTGCTCGAGATCAGATTTCGAAGCAATCTGCATATACTTCTTTGTGCCATCCAGAAGGACAAGATGGAGCTTGAAATCGCGTGCATTGTCAATGTTATATGGAGAATATTTCCACACGCTTCTCATCACGTCCCACCACTGCTGCTCCGTAACAGAATCGAGCAATGTGATCGATGTCTGTGTCGGTGTGATTTGGAGGAGGATACTAGCTATGTAAAAGGGATGCGGCGTGGGTACTTCGGAATTGCAGTACTTTGAAATCATGCTAATGCACCGATCTATGTGGCGGTCCCCAAACAAATGGGGGTGCCAGCCGGAATTCCTCGCGAGGGTACAGACCAGTTCGAGATAGCACCAGTCGCGGTTATATTTGAGAAAGGGGTTGAGATCATCATTGGCGAGTGTTGTACCTGGGTGCGGGCAAAGCACGGACAGAATAGCGGGGGAGAACTTGGTCAAAATCATGTCCCGCAGCCTCGCATCATCAATGGTATCGATCGAGGCGATTCGTTCTCGGGCACTGTGAGCAGCGCGAAGAGCGGCATGGCGTAAATGGTGAGGCATGTTACTGTCCATGCAGGCGATGAGCCTCTCGATGAACAGATGTTGTTTAGCAGGGCTGCAGCACACCCCCATACTACCCAGTAACAAAAGGATATCATATGCTGCTTCGTGGTCATAGGAATAGATGAAGTCGAGGTAGTCTAAAAGCCTGTCAGAGTCTTCTGGGGAGTGAGAATTGGCTTTGCCGGACCAGTAGGTTGACCATAGGTTAGCAATGTCCCGAGAAACGTCAGAAGCAGCGAACGTGAAATGCAGTACTTTTCGCAGCACTGCCAACGAAACCGAGGCATCGTTTCGTTCGGATGACCTCGCTTGTGAATAAATCTTCCTGCACACGTCCAACCGCATGGTGTAGAATGAAGGAGAAAGGTGATTTCTGGCAAGCTCGAGGATGCAACAAATAATATCGAGGAGCTTCCATGCCCGGCGTGTGACTCCTGTACTATCTTTGTCGAGCTTGCCTCCATCGCATGCCCAGAGAGCCTTTTGGAATTGTGCCAAAAGGGACTCCCCGAGTCGAGGCAGAGCAGAGCTACACGATCTCTTTGTTAATCACGGCAGAAAAACTACAAAATGAGCCAATAGCACCTTTTATCAATCCGAACTATGTCTTTCTTGTCAACCAGAGTCCCGACCATGACGCAAGCAAGAAGAGTGCAATTGGCTAGGATTTGATTCGACGCAGGGGATGTAGATGATAGCAGTTTTGATATCACTGTTATCGCGAGGTTTTCTATGTTTTCATTCACTCACCCAGTTACAAAGTGATAAGGAAGAAGATGTGAGAGCCACTCATAGATGGAGTCAGGGCAAGCCTCTGAGAAAGAAATCTTCCAGCCATTGCTATCTGATTGACAAAAATTTATAGTCATGTCAAGCACCGTTTCGTTGGCTGTGGGCAAGCGGTTGTAAATCTGAACAAACACATCGAGATCTTGTCTCCCGCGGATAAGAAATTCGCCACAATCAGGATATACAGAATATACCTTAAGAACACGTCCATAGTATAGATGAGTTAGAGCCATTGCACATGCCGAAGCCTTCTTCTCCAAAGACGGTACGATGCGCTCCTGAATGTCGACGCAACTCGTAAAAATATCAGACAGCTGATGCAGCATGTCTGAAACATCAAGATCCAGGGGCCATTTGACCTGCGGGACAAGCCTGGCAGCAGCGAGAAATACTTCAGGATCTGTAGACGTCTCGAGTAGCCACTTGACGCTATGCGCTTCGAGATCGCTGGTGGGTATGTCAGGGAGGTCGAGGTTAAGGGTGTCATCATTCTCCAGATCCTGGTGGAGTGGTTGTGCTTCTGAGTCCACGACTTTTGTTGCGGATGCAGAACCGAAGAACGCAGCAAGTTATGAAGCCTAGTGATGAACTGCTGAAGAGATCGTCCCGTGAATGTACCTATCGCATGCACAAGGCCTAGGGAGTGAATGAGCACTGAGTATATTTTGAATGGTAGATAAGATCCTCACCTTTAAATACTTCAGACAGTCGGGTCCATCCCGATCTGACGATACTAAACAATCGTTTGAGCACGCCTGACATAAAACGGTCAAAACCTGTGCACACAGAAGACATAACTCACCATGCAGTAACGTCATGGGCCACTGGAAATAACAAGAAACTCGTTTAAACACCAGGTGTAGAACCCCTACAATGTTGATTCAGATGGGGAATGACCACCAGAATTCGGGGAAATGATCTTACTGTCGACGCACAACACCCGTAATATCGTCGATATCGGTGTCTGAAATGGACAAGCAGGAGATATCAAACAAGCCATTACAGTCAGGGAATAAAACAGAAATCCAAAGACCGTCGTTCCGATGACGACCCAGGCGATGCTTGCCTGCTCGTACCACAAATTGGCGCCAAGAGCGATCCCGAAGAGAAGAAGAGAGATCTGAAGTAAGACCGGAAAGGATTGCACGACAGCATCAAAATACCATGTCACGAGGCCGTCGAATTTCTCTTGCCTGCGCTTCCCTCGTTCCTCCTGCGAGCCGTGGCAATATCTGTTCGATTTGTAGTACCCCAACCACTGCTTTCCCAGCAAGGCCCCGAATGCAGCGAGCAAGCTCATGGACAAACTCGCATATGCGATCGTTTGGATCCATAAGGTCGGCGCGGTCAGAGACCAAGTGGATGCTGGGTCTAGGGGAATGGGGCCTGCCTCAGCGAGATTGCCGAGTCCGATCTGCACGAGTTGCTTTAAAAGGGCATTCGTGGTGTCACTGGGGCCGGGACTGAGATTTGACTCCATCGCGACAATGAAAGATGTGCTGACAGCGGAGAAAAGACCAGACTCGTCGAACATCAGTCTCGAAACAGAATGCAGATAAGCGGGCTAAACTTACGAAGATCAGGACGATGTCCATGTCGGTAGTGTATCGCTCGAGGAACTTGATGTCGTGTTCTTCCGCGACTCTTTTGTACACCCCCCAGAAATGAGACCGTTCGTCCTTTTCACTCTTCGACGCAATCGTCGAGTCTTTGAGAACCTGTAATACTTCCTTCATGACATCTGCTCTGCATGTAGGGCGTCGTCAGCTGCGATCGCTTGGCTTCAAGTTTCTGGCTCACAATTCGCTTAGAGTCGGCTGGTCCTTCTCTGTCACAAGCTTTCCCCCCTCGCTGAGACAAATGAGGAGTATGTTTGGTGTCATTATTGACAAGGACTCACGGAGTTAAATCGTCGACTGGTGGAACATTGGATGTACCTTCCTGTGCTAAAGGTTCCCACGGCCGTGAAGGTCCAGCATTCGAACTGCAGTTCTAGTAAGAGCGGCGCAGACGCCCGGCGTCAAGGAGGAAGCATATACATCCCTGATGGTAGCTCTACCAAATGTTCAACAATCATTTTCTCCCTGTCTTGCTGTTAGACGAGTGACATATTCTAGGCAGCTGTAACTCACTCCTCGATGGGTCCTACGACGTTATTTTGCGAAGGAAGCTGTTCATCGTTGTGGGCACGTCGATCCTCGGCGTTGTCGGTGGCTGACGCTTGTGGCATGAAGAACTTATAGGTACTATGTTGGATTCCAAGAAGAGCTAGTGGAATTTGGAAGAGTTTCAGGTGAGCGGACAGAGCAGCTCGAGAGGTAGGACACAGAAAGTCCTACAACTCAGACCATGACAAACACGTGCTTGCGCAATGCGAGCGTTGACGCCGAAGATTTTCGTGAGAGCTCCCTGCAGTGAACTGAGACCTTACCATCGTGATGGTGATAGATCCTTCTGGGCCGCCCAGTCTTTATGTACATGATATCATGATAACATGTTTGAGGAAGTAGCTCAAGCTGACAAACTTATGAATATGGTCATTTTATTTGGCCGCGTTCAACGTTAACATTGAGCTCTCATTTGCAGTCATTGTTTGTGTCTAGTATTTGCTGACGAGGCATATCTAGTTCTAGTTCCTGTCGGCAGGAAATATTGTCTGCGACAAAATATCAATGAGTACCTTAGTTGAAAGATTCTAGATGTCATTGGTTGTCAATGGATACATTCGTACTCAGTGTTGTACTTATACCTATTAGGCTAGACTTTTCATGTGCATAAGTACAAATTCCTAGCTATGATATATATATAAACCGATTCACCGAGTTCTTCATAAAATGAGATACAGAAGAAAATTGCACCGTCGCGTGTGATTGCAGTAGTGCACAGCCACTGTCGCCGCTTTCTACAGACTACTACTATCGCTAGCATACTTGGACGTCAAAATTTCCTGGTGCGTTATGTTCCTGATATTCACTGATGTGTATTCATGCAAGGATGTCAATCGCAGACTCAACAAGACGAATCCCTCTTTGCTCTATCGACGTACTGCCTGACATTAGTAGCAATATACCAAAATGCATTGATGTGCACGGACTCTGTGATCAATCGAGCATCTGATCTCATTCCTTTGACCATCTCACTGCTGAAATCGACAACTCTCGCCCGGTCATGCATATAAGGACCGAAATTTTTTCAAAGCACCTAGTGAATTAAAGGATTGGTCGCGTGAGTGCCTGTTGCATGGCCCAGGCTGGTCACGACGACAAAGACCTCCAGAAATTTTTTGGACCTCGGTGTCGACATCCATGTCGGTCTTCATTCGATTCCCCACGTTAAATTTTGATCGACGTGCACATCTCTGGCAAATAACTCTATCCTGGTGTTCGCTCGATGCTGTAACAGACGATGAAGCATTCAAACGGATGTGGTTGCTTCAACAACAATGCATTCACGCGTTATATGGGCCACATCCACTAGGAATCTCCACAAAGCATTCTTGTACGAATTCCACAAGCGTCTGACCACTGAAAACCACAACTCTGCATGCGTTTGTCCATCGCAAAGCACAATGCCGCGACCACAGCAGGGAATCGTATATATACCTACCCTGATACTTACCCAGCACCATCATCCGCTCGAGTTGAATCTTACATTCACCTCACAAGTAGTATCCTCACTCATATTCTTATATAACCAATCATGCCAAAGGTAAGCCCAATCAGGCGCATACATGATGCATTAACTTGAAGACTAACTCTTGTGATGTTTAGACCTACGCTTGCTCTATCTGCAACCAAACTTTTCCCAAGTTCGCCGACTGCAAGATACACGAGGCCATGCATTCACCAGAAAAGTACGTGTTTCTACCCTATGGTATGCAGCTCACCTAACTTATATTCACTCACACAGAGCGTACTTCTGCACCTGGGGCGGCGGGTGTAACTTTGTGACATTGCATAAAACAAGCTTCAACGATCATACTGATGGGCAGTACGTGGTCATTCATCACCATTATCGATTCCACCTGACCAACAGTTCTATTTGATTTCCTTTTAGCACGGGCGAGCAACGCTTCATCTGTCCTCACGATGGCTGTAACTACAGAGCTCACACCTCTTCAAACCTCACACAGCATCGCAAGAAAGAACATGGGTATGTTCCTCGGGCGTGCAATCGTCGCGGTCCCTCTGCAACAGATTCATCCTGGGCCCAGTCGTCGTCCCAGCCTCCGCCGGCGGCAGAGCCGCTTCCCCTTGGTACATTCTACCAACACCAACACCAACCCCAACCCATGCAACCGCAGGCCATGCAATCCTATCCCGCTCAATACCAACCTATGCAACCGCAGATCATGCAATCCTATCCCACCCAATACCAACCCCAATCCACTCAATACCAGCCTCCCCCACCTATCCACAACCAGTCGCTGGGAGCCTTATACGGCCCAGCAGATACCGCGGGCGACTATACCATGTATACCGGACCCGCGATGGCCCCAAATGGATGGACTGAGGGATGCATGTTTCCTGAGATGATGCAGAGACGCCCTTCGGAGATGCCAGGGTATGAGTATAGGCGTGCTTAGTTTTACTCAAGAATCAAGCGTCATTTTGTGTCGCTTTTTTCTTTCTTTCTTGGTGATAGTCGTTCTTTTGTTTTTCGTTTGTTTGTGCACCATGAGGAACTCTGGGCACCCTTCCACTCGTTTATATGTTTCATTTATCACTACGATGTTTTCCCTTTCCTGGTGATAGCCGTTCTTTGGTTTATCGTTTGTTTGTGCACCATGATGAACTCTGGGCACCCTTCCACTCGTTTATATATTTCATTTATCACTTTGCGATGTTTTCCCTGGAGGATAATACATTCTTTGATATGTAATTCGTTCTAAGTTGTGAATGTTCGCCTCCCTCAAGTTTGATTCAAGCGTGATCACCGCTCATTCCCCGTGTAGTTGAACAGTAATCAGTCAGTAGGTGCTTTGACACATACTCAGCAATTCCAAAGTCTCAATAGATGTTTCATGCATACATGTGACCTTACGATTAGATTGTGATGTAAACACTGGTGCGAGGACGGTGGCCTCTATACAGAAAAACGGGCCGATCGAGAGTACGGTATGGTGTAAAATTAGGACCTTTGGCTCTACATAACCAACGAATATTGTCATGATCCACACATGAGGGTCCTTGCTTGCCTTCACACTGGTTACGAGCGCGTCCGGTGATCGAGGGTGGATGTGCTTCACGAGGATGACTTATACCATGAGTGGTATCGGCCATAGGCGGTTCCGTCGACTGCACGTTTCAGGTTCCTCAACAAATGATTCCAATTTGGACAGAAAGTAACACCGGATTCTCGGATGGCACAAATGTTGCTGCCTGGAGCTACCTTCTGGCAGACAGTTGCAAGACAGTCCCGCATCATCACCATGCCCTTCTCGATCATGGTGTCGACCGCATCCATATCTCGTTTCGGAAACAAGGTCTGCAGCGAAGGCATCAATAAAGCAACTCAGATGAGTATTCTGTAGATATAATTACGCCACGTGCCAACAATTCATTGTCAACATCAATGTTGATCGGCTCGTCTCCCCGGACCCAAACGTGAAATCGAACAGATGCGAGGTGACACCATGTATGGCCTGCGACTACGACGGGTTGATCAAGAGATTGTGCTGCAATACCTTGAAGCGAAAGGAATGAAGAGCGTGAAAGATTGTCCTGGAGTAGCATCTGCCATGCTTCTGACATACGTCCAGGTGAGCGATATGGTTGATGTTCTTCAATCACAACCATTATGACCATCAAGACTTCTGGATGGGAGGCGATTTCATATTTGATTTTCCGAAGAACAGAATCTGTGTCCTGGGCGAATGCACATTCCCCGACGACAAGGACCTTGGGCTCATGAATCCTATTCTTGGTGATCACATTCATCGTAATCGACAGGTCTGGAACAGCAGATGCATAGAGCAGCGTAAGGACCCTGGATACTGTGGCGTACACAGAGTAGTCCGAGTCATGGCGATGGAGACCATGTAAAAAACCACAGAATATTGAATCCAGGTGAAGGAATGGAACTTCGTGAATACTGGTGAACTTTTCGACCAGGAGGATGTGTTTGTCCTTGAAGTAACTCAATCTACGATGATGTGGTGTTAGTCATGAGAAGTAAGACATTCATCCTAACCTTGACCTTCCTGGTACTGTATCATTCTCTTCGATGATGTGCTCTACTGTCGAGTATACCCCATAATAAACATCAGAAAACTCCTGTTACGATGATCAAATGACTGTTCGCGCTCCGCCCATGAATTCGAACATACCGCAGACTCTTGCTCAGGGTTTGGCTCCGTAAGGAACTTCAACACGTCCCCACATTGATCTTGAAGATTGAACATCACAAATAAGCGTAAACCTTGGGTAAGTGTAGGCTACAAATACCAAAATCAATGGGGTCGAGTTTGGCGACTTTTCTGAAAGTCTCCTCCAAAACCAAGTTATCTGGCAGTGAATCCAAGTCTGATGCTGAACTCTCGATAGCAGAAAGCATGTTGGAAAGAAGCCCGGTCTTGCTCTGTATTAGTATTGTTCAAGTTTTTCTAGGTGCGCAAGGTTGTGTATCAACTGTCTCAATCTATTTAATAGGGGAGTTCAACCGACTATGAATTTCAAACGTGTCCGCGGAGATTGAAATATTTAGTTGTCAGCAAGATGTACCATATCATGACATGACCATACTGCAGTAAACCCTCAAAGATGCAACCATGGTACCATCACCAGAGACAGACCTACACCAGGGGTTACAATGGACAGGAAGCTCGGCCAAGGGGGATATAATGAGGTATACCTGATATCTTGGGCAAGTCCTTTCTTCGAAATCCTTTTTCCTAGTCATTGTCAAATCCCCATGATAAGTAAATCTCTGGGATGACTCGACCTTGGCATCCAAGTTTTTTTCTCTGCGCCTTCCGAAACTAAGCACCAGATACTCCCCTCCCCCATCAGATATTATGTAAACAAAGTTCCATACCCTTGATCGATCGATCATTGCACGTTGTATATTCCAATGCCCAAGATATACGCACTAATATCAGAAATGCACTCGGTTGTCCGGTGGACTCCTCGCGGCCATCTTCATACCTTGATCGCTCCTTGGTGCAATCTATAGAACTTGTAGAGAACTGCCCAACATTCAAAGTAAGGCTAAATTCAAAGAGGTGCCTGAAAATTTAACATGTACAGCTGACTATCTAGCAGGTCTTTTCATTACTTTCACCATTTCTCCTTGCCTTCGACAATATTCACTGTTCATAGTATCGAGGTCTGTCAATGCATCTGTACAGAGTGCAGTAATCAAAAACTTTCTTTGTCAGCGCCATGGCCGAGTCAAGCACATCAGCACAACGAAAAGGTGGAGAAAGAGGAGCGATGTTGAGTTCACCGGTGGTTAGCGCACCTCGTCGGATGAAGGAGAAGGATCCACCACCATATGGTACACAATATCGCCAAGATATACTTTGGGAAGGTGAATGATCACATTTTCATACTTGTTGACTTACTCGACGAAAAACAGGCAGGAATGAACTGATTCCTCAATGATGGCAGCATAAGATGTTGGATGGTAAAATATACTATCAGGATATCTCACTCGTAATGGCTTCCTGGAAATGGCCTCTACCTGGGGTGCGACTAAGTGAGCGAAGAATATGCTATTAGCAGCAAGGAACTCATGTGAAACATAGATCATCCTGGATGACTCATTGCGAACAGCACATCTCACCGTTTGGTCCGTCCTACTTGGTAAATTACGATACCTAGATCACATCGTGGAAGAAACCAATGCCAGAATGTCCACCAGGGAGCTTGACGCCAGAGTGCATCATCGAGGGTCATTCCAAATTCATTCGGGGCCTTGCCTGCTTGGGCACAAGCTGCAATATACTGAGCATGTCAGGTGATGGTTTGATTTGTCAGTGGATAATAGATGGAGTGCAGTGGGGAGTCGTTGGACTAGTAACGGAAGAATGGTAGGCTCAATGGCAATATCTCCAAATGAATTGATGGTCGAACACTCCTTCTGTCATTCCCCTGATGCTGCTGTGCTAACAAAATGGCTTTCAAATCTATCTTGTTGGCGCAGCAGCTGACTACTCAATTCGTATCTGGGACCTCAGGACCGACTCGGATCAGCTAGTCGGAGACCCGCTCTTGCACAACGATATACTCACGCATGTTGTCATGTCCCCTGATGGAAGATATATCATCAGTGCTGCATTGGGCGCAAAGATATATGTATATAGCCTCGATGCAGCTCTCAGACACGCAGGGATGATCATGTGAGTTTGTTTGGTTATGATTCACCTTGCGACTGAAGCAAGACCCGATGCGAATCTCAGGGAAAGCTTTCTGTGTTTCTCTTTCTTATGGTATCTTCTTTACTAGGGACATACAGTTCGATCGATAGATGCTGTGCACCAATCAGTTGTCAATGCCCTACTTATTTGCTTATCCGTCTCGTCAGATCTTTTACGCTAGTCAGGTCTCCAGGCAGCTGCACGTCAACCAAGGCTTGGCGAGATATGTCAGGATGATCTTTTGTTTTTCGTCTCTTGCAGGTTTGACACTGGTATAGGGAAAGGACTTCTGGGACACTGATACCAACACCGAGCCTCGTCCTGCAGCTCTTACCAGCCCATCCTCTTCCCTTCGTTGGCGCAATTCCCTCCGTTCGCTGCATTTCAGCATTCGACCTTCAAACACGTCACAATCAATACCGATGCATTCTTGACGTCGGAATTTCAACTTATTTTCAGGAGAAAGCTTGAAACACACTGTTGATGTAGCTGCTGGTCACAAGAAAAACGCAAGTGGCTTCTACCGCTCCCTTGTGGATATATATCATTGAAGGAAATATGTTTGCAGAGAATTTTTGTCTCCCCTCCTAGCGCAGCAGAATTGGCCCGTGCAGAAGTGTTACAGTAACATGGCACGAGTCCCCCGCCAGCAGAGAGCCCTCTGCCACCCGCACGGCTATAGACGACACTGGAGCCTCACCAGCTCTATAGACGATAACAGAGCATCATTGGCTCTATGACGATAGATGACGACAAGATGACGATAGACGATAAGCGGCAACTGCCGGCTTAGATAAGCGGTCTGGACCACACGTGACATGATATGACGACATAGGTCTAGAAGACCTATTTATGTTATCAAGATAGAAGGCAAGCCTCGTGTTGCCTCATGTACTGATAGAAGGATACCACGTGGATCCTATCTACGATAGAAGCCCGCCTCATGGATGCTATCTCTGACTCATGTAGATAAGCAGATTAGAACCCAGCTTTAGGCTGAGCTTAGATACGAAGAGTAGCCTTATATAAGGTCGAAGATTAACAGTAGACGTTCCTTACTTTAATCTTACTAGGTTTACCCTTGAACTCCTTGTCCCGCTAAAGCTACCTGCTCGACATTGACTCGTACCTTCAGTGACGCCTCTCACTGTCTGTAAACCGCTATCATCTCAGCGTAACCCCTCGTTAACCACCACGAGCTACGTTCGAGTACGCAACCTTTGCTTGTCTGTAAAGGCCGACGACTCTCAGCACTCAGTACCACTGTCGTGGTTGTCGCTGTTAGATTATCCTAGTCGCACACGACCGTTTGTCATAACAAGAAGCGGCTACAGCTGTGCAACATCTGAATGGTAACAAGGCTGACCTTTTGACGCAAGGAGGTCAATCTCAGGCTGTGCTTGCTGTACTTTTTTCTCTTGATGGAAATACGCTACAAAGGGCTTGACACATGACGAAGCTACCAGTGTTGAATATCATTGTTGTTTGAACTTCGCACCTCTGTCAGTGTCCATCTGATTGCACGGTCTCTGCAAGAATGCATACTTCGTTGGCTTCTGTGTAAAATGCACAACTTGGGCATACTCACTAGTACGTTATGTTACACCTTTCCCTCACATTCACTCGTACTAACATTCATACAAGGATGTCTCAACAAGTCCCCTCATTACGTCGTTGTACTGTCTAGCATTAGCTAGTAGTAATCTAAAAAAAATGCACTTACCTGCACGGACTCTATCAATCGCGCATTCAACCTCACCGCTGAAATTGACAACTCTCGCCCAGTCATGCCTACAAGGACCGAACTCTCGAAACACCACTTGGACATGTAAAGTATTAGGGATTAGTCAAGTGACTGCCTGTCGTATGGTTATTTGAGTCCAAAATCCTGTCGGACCTCGGTATCATGCAATTCAACATCCATGTCAATCTTTACCCAACTCTCCACGTCGAGTTTCTATCAACGTACACATCTCCATAGATTAACTTTATCCTGGTGTTCAATTGATGCTGTAACAGCTAATGAAGCCTTCAAACGGATGTGGATGCTTCGATCACGCGTTACATGGTCCACATCCACTAGTAACCTCCACAAAGAATCTCTGTACGAATTCCATAAGCGTTTGTCTACCTAAAAGCACAATGCCACAACTAGGGATCTGCACGGGTGAACCCCCAGGTGTTGGCAGGTCAACCCGCACCCGCACCCCGAGGTAAACCCACACCCGCAGCAAGGGTACGGGTTGCACAGTGGGTAGCAAAGTAAGGACCTGGGGTACAACCCATCAAGGGTGTACCCGCGGGTCATAGATCCGCCAGTGCTTAGCACATATGTCCAGCACATGTCAGTGAATGCTGACGTGACTCGAACATATGTGGATGGCACAAGAAGGAGGAGGGGCGCGCGCTGGGCATTCGCGCATGGCGTCCGTCACGTTGGGAATGGCGTAGTGGTCGTTGGTGATGGTGTCGCTGGGGTATGCGCTAGTGCCGGCGCGAATGACAAAGATGGTGGTGCAAATGATGGCGAAGGTGACGCGGATGGTGGTGTTGGCATTGTGGATGGTGGTGTTGGTGTGAAAGCTGGTGGTGGTGTGAATGCTGGTGGTGGTGCGAGTGCTGGGCGCACAAAGATAGGCGCCAGCGACGTGACACGTATGACATCATTGTTGTTGCTGGGGGTAGAGTCTTCAATGTGAGTACTCACTTCCAGCGTGCCCAAAGTCTCGTCTCCTCGAGTTCCTCTTTCCTCCTTCATCTCTATACCATCCCTTCTCCCTTCTTCAATTCTCTTGTCCTTTCATCTTCGCGTGTTGTCCGCGTGCGTTTGCATCGCGTCAACACTTGTTGATGCGTTCCGGGCGCGCGCGCTGTGAACGTGGAGTTGGTGGACTTGGGAAGGCGCGTTAGGTGCCGGTGTTGGTGGTGGTGCCGGTTGTAGCATGCATGCGGGAATGCTGGGTGCGAAGATGTTGATAGTGGCGTGGTGAGCGAAGACGTTGATGACGGTTGCAGATGAGGAGTGTGCGAGGATGAGAGGTAAAATTACCGAAGGCACGGGTATAGCTGGGGTACGGGTAAGAGCGCGGGTCTTAGAATCCTGACCCGTACCCGTACCCCAGTAGTACCCGTACCCGTGACCCGCGCGGGTTACCCGTACCCGTGCAGATCCCTAGCCACAACCACAGCAGGGAATCATTTATATGCCTACCCTAATACTTACCCAGCACCATCATCTGCTCAAGTTGAACCATACATTCACCTCACAAGTCACATCCTCACTGATATTCTTATATAACCAATCATGCCAAAGGTAAGCCTATTCACACGCATACTTTATGCATTGACTTGAAGACTGATCCTTGTCATATTTAGATCTATGTTTGCTCTACTGGGGGGCCTGGCTGCAGCCAAACTTTTGACAGGCACGTCGACCTCAAGAGACACGAAGCCATACATCCAAAAAAGTACGTGTTTCTCCTGTACAGTGGTATACAGTTCACCTCACTTATATTTGCTCACGCAGTAAGTACATCTGCACCTGGCCTGGGTGTAACTTTGCGACACTGATTAAAAAAAGCTATGACATCCATTCCGATAAACAGTATGCACTCATTTATCACCGTCATCAATTCCACCTGATTGAGTATTTCATTTTAGTGCGGGCGAGCAACGCCACAACTGTCCTCACGATGATTGTGACTTTAAAACCCACAATCCTTCCCTGCTCACGGCCCACTGCAAAAACATACATAAGCATGTTCCTTTGCCGCGCAGTCAAGTTGTATGCCCTGTAATAGGATCATACAAGGCCCACTCGTCGTCCCAGCCTACAGTACAGTCGCTCCCCCCTGCACAGCTCCTGCCCTTTGGCTACCCATACGAACCCCAAGTCATGCAACCGGAGCCTATGCCACCCCGACCCATGCAATTCCACCCCGCCCAATACCAACACCAACCCGAACCCACTCAATACGAAGCCCAAGTCATGCAACCCATGCCCATGCAATTTAACCCCGCCCAATACCAATACCAACTCGAACTTGCTTGTTACAAACCTCGAGTCATGGAACCGGAACCCATATCACCCCGACCCATGCAATTCCATCCTACCCAATACCAACCCGAGCTTGCTCAATATGAACCCCAAGTCGTGGAACCGGAACCCATTCCACCCTGACCCTTGGAATTTTACTCCACCCAATACCAACCTGAACTCGCTCAATACGAACCCCAATCTACTCAATATGAACCTCCCCCACCTGACCCTAACCAGTTGTTGGGAGTCATATATGGCTCAATAGATACCGCGGACGATTACCATGTACACCGGATCCGTGATGGACCCCGATGGGTGGACTGAGGGATGCATCATGCATGTGTTCTGAATTGATGTGGAGATGCCCTTCAGAGATGCTGGAGGATGAGATGAGTATAGGTGTAATTAGTCTCAAGAATGGAGAATCATTTTGTGTTGCAATTTCTTTCTTTCTTGGTGATGGTTTCTCTTTGGTTGTTCGTTCATTTATGTATCATGATGGACTCTGGGCACCCTTTCACTCGTTTACATATTTTATTTATCACTTGCGATGTTTTCCCTAGAGGACAATACATTCTTTTACATGTAATACCTCAGTTGTGAATATTAACGTTTACTTCCCTCAAATTTGATTTAGGCGCTAATATTTGCTCCAGTTCCAGCGTCTCAATAAACTTCAAACATGCTCGCGGAGATTCAAATATTCTTTGTCTGCAGCAATGATAATACAGCCCACATGCGCAATGTCCATCCCAGTACTACAGCAAACCCTCAAAGATGCAAGCACTGCCATCACCGGAGACAGACCTACATCAGAGGTCATAGTGGACAGGAAGCTCGGCGAGGGGGGATATAATGAGGTATACTTGATATCTTGGGCAAGTCCTTTCTTCGAAGCCCTTCTTCCTCCTCGTCAAATTCCCATGATGTATAACTCTCTGGCTGGGACAACTCCACAACATCCAAGTCTTTTACTCTGCGCCTTCTGAAACCAGATACTCTCCTGCCTCACCAAATATTAAACGAGGTCGCTTCCATATCCTTGATATCTGCACGTTGTCCAAATATTCCAGTCCCCAAGATATACGCATTTCGCGCTGACGGACCGAACCCATTTGTTGCTCAAGAATACATCGATGGCGAGCCTTTGAGCAGTATATGGAATTGCTATACCGAGGTAGAGAAACATTCAGTTGCCCTGACGATCGCCAAGATAATTGTTGATATGGGGGAGACATGTTTCAGTGCTATAGGCGGATTTGCCAGTCCTACAAGCTATGCCCTTGGACCGACCGTAGAGGGAAGCAAACTTTTCAAGGGACGCGTGAGTCTTTGTCGCATTTTGCATTTGATTTCCCTGATGATCAATGTATTACATTCAGACAGGGTAAATTTCATTCCAATAGATGCTACCCCATCAGTCCATACAAAACCACAAAGGAATACATTCTCGCTTGCTACAACAAAGAGATATACCATTGTACCCATGCCCCCGCGTCCGATATTGATTCCAACTTTTTCGAACTCACATCTGTCAAAGACTTTGTGCAGCAGCTACGAGATAAGAAACGTCAGCTAGAGACCAGCTTTATCACTGAAGACGAGCCATTTGTTCTCGTTCACGGAGACTTTCACGGTCGGAATATCATCATGCATGGTACGCAGATGCAAGCTGTCCTGGATTGGGAGTTTGCAGGTGCGTATGTTACGTCAACTGTGGGCCGACGTGTGCGAACTAGGATAGGTCTTCTCAGCGACGACTCGAGTGAGTCTACTGAAGCTGAGCGTGGTCTAACCTTGACGGAATGTCAAGGGTTCCTCCGGCGATCTCGGTAAGACGGCGCTCGTCGAGATGCAGGGCTAGCGGATACGTGCAAAGTCGTATGGGGGCGACTTTGAAGTGCGGTCTCACACAAGGAAGCTGGTAGGCTTAGATGAGCAAGTTCTGTGGTAGAACCTAGTAGATTAAAGTGAAGTTAATCTACAACAATGTAACTACTCTTATAGTGTTAACTATAGGTTATTCTAGCTCAGTCTGTAATCTATAGTATATCGGTAATCTAAGATAACCAGACATGAGGAGAGATAGTATACATGAGGCTTAACCTCTGATCATACATGCAGCGCCAAGTGCAGCTGCGCAATCAACAGGAGGCGCATAGAAGCGCTCCGGGTCTTCATACATGAGGCGCCAAGGGCGCTCCGGATCTTCATGAAGCGACATGCTGTATGCATGCGCTGATCTAGGGTGTCCATGAGGCGTACTGCCTCCATGGATCAGGTACAAGGCCGTCTAGGCCAGGGGCGGGGTCATAGCGCCAGGCGGGGTCATAGCGCCATGGGGTGGGGTCATAGCGGTCCAGACCGCTGTCTTTCTAGGCGCAGGCGGCGCACCGCCGCGCGGGGAGTCTAGCAGAGCGGGGGCAGGCGTAGGGAGAGCTGGGGCTCTAGTAGGTGTTACAGATCCCTGTAACAGCGTATCCTTTGGGTGAGCTGTTAGGAGGGATGGGTGTCGATGTCCTGGAAGTCATCGACAACGAATCAGAAGAAAAGAATGCACTTTGGAACAGGGAGATTGTACGTAGGGTTGAAGAGACGGCGAGACAAAGAGGATGGGATGAGAAGGAATCGGCGCTGTTATTGGGCAATGGAGATCCTGTCCTCTGTCAAGCAAGGATAGAAATGGTTCCGTCTGATCCTTGAATAATGCTCTGGGCGAGTATTTCCTTTGTAACTTTTATCAGTTTTGTAACGAATCCGACGCCACGGTTCTTCATCCTATCACTGGTATGGTTGTGAGTCCTCGATCGGTTCTAATATTGAGTGCTGAAAGTTCAATGAATGCAGTTCAGTCAGTCTTCTGAAAACATGTAATCATTAGGAAAGCTCGACATTAGTTGCGGGTTTCCTTGAAATGTACATGGCGTACACACAGCATGTCAAAGTCACGTTGGAAGTAGACTCACTTTCTCAGACACTAGTCTCAGTAGGGATGTATCTGAGCTGGGAAATAGCAAAACACATTATCTGACATATTTCATGCTCATCCCCGTTCTTATTCAAGAGACTAACGAAGTGCTCATTTCAACAGATCAGTTGGATGGCAGGCATGACCTCAAGGCTGAGCTGGCCTTTACAGCTCGGCTGGTGTCATCTTACTTTTGTAACGAAGCTGAAGGTAAAGTATTTCCAGTGTGTGTTGGCATGCAGACGAACTTCTGACGAAGTGACCCAGGTATAAGAATGTTGATTGTACTGGAATACTGTCTCTGATAAACAGTATTTGGTAGCTTTGTGGCATATAGGGCCTGTTCTGCCACTTTCAGATTCTACTGGCACACCAATAAGTGGATGTCCTCAAGCCTAACCACGACAAGGTGCTCACGTGATCCTCGAACAGCGTAAGAGCATCCGCCAATGGTGGCCACTCTCGAGTTTCAAAAGGTCCTTTCCTTTTCCTGGTTCTATGCGTACTCGCGAGGTGATGGGAACACTTGTACGAGTCACCAGGGCAGCTACCTCTTTGGGGCATTACTCAACAGCGGTACTCATCTTATCCATATTCCAAATGGCGACCTCAGAAGTAAGAGTTTATTTAGATCCGAGACTGAATCTGCAGTAGATTTTACCTTAGACCTCAGGGCACAAAGTCGGATGTGTGATGTTTGGGGTGGTCAAGAGATGAGTCAATCATACCCGCACCCAACCCGCGGGCACCAAAATTTCCGAGACTTACTTCATCAGGAAAACCCCAACTTACTTAATCTTGCTTAATCAACTTAGCCACATTTGTTTCCTCTCTCATGCATCATCTACCTAGTAAATTTTGTATTTTTTTAGTGTAACCTGTAACAAAATATGTATGCTAATATGACTGAACAACTTTTTCCCGAATATGTCAAATTTGAATTTCTAGCAAAGTAGGCTAAGTCACTAAGTACGACTTAAGTCTGTTTAAGGCAAGCTTAAGTAAGTTGGGGTTTTCCTGATGTTACACTCACCGGGATCAGAGCATCGGGGGTATGTGGGTTTACCTTGAGACGTAACGTCGGATATATGAAGTTTTGGGTAGCTGAAAGGTGACATTGTGTGTAAAGCTGCTCTGTGTTGGACTGAAAAACTGAAGGCTACGACGAAACATAGCTCTTGGCGAGCAGGGGCAACAAGCTTCTTTAGTTTTCAGTCTTGCATCGACAGGTACTAGATTCACTCTGAGGAGTTCGTCACATATTTCGGTAAGTTCCACTCGTAAGTAATAGCCTTATCATACAATTATCATATGTCCGAAGTTCGAACTGATTTGACATGAATCTTGCATGAATCTCGAATTTACTATTCAAACTCAGTGGTACCGTTAGTATCAATAACGCCATGGTAACAAAAATAAAGGCAAGCCGCGGTAGACAACTATTTTTTCGTAAACATCCATTCACCAGCACCTCGTAAGCGTCGGTGACAGTGACCCGGTCGTGTCGGTATCGGCAAATATCTAATATTCGGTTTGATCGGACTCGAGACCAGTAGAGCCGTGGGCGTCTACATATATAGGCTGGCGTTGGTACTTATTAGACGCTTATACAACAAATCTTGGGCGTCATGCGGCTAGCACCGAACTCGGAAAAATCCAAGGTTCAGTACCACCTGCTCCTTCCATAACTACTTATCACCGCCTCCTTATCAGCTTGGGCACAACTTGGCGGTGTTCTTGGTGATGCTCTGCCAGTGAATTACAATGCACATATACCGCCTCATCCTTCCCAGCTCGAAAAAAATGGGCGTCCGGAACCGTACTACCACATGCAACCGAAGTCTATCGTCAAAATCTGACTACCGAACTCGCTCTAATAATATTTCGGTATGAATGACATCATAGTAGGGCTTCAATATTGTGCTTGGCCCATCAACTATTGATAGATTTGCTAGAAACGACAAACGTAGTACAAGGCGGCGGTCTTGCGTGTGACGCTCACGGTGTACTTCGGTATGACTGGGTGCAACAAGTCAGTTTCCAGGAACAAATCTACGACATCGACGGAGTGTTGGCTAGTCTGGTTTGTTTTTCTTCTCACTAATCAAGCGAACAGATGGTCGACAGGCAACCAGAACGTTGAACGCAAACTGTGCATGATAGGAATTCAAATGTTGGCCGAAATGTTCGAATGTAAGTGCTGCACAGCACACCTGGGTGTGTCTCAATACTTCTTTCGTGTATGACCAACTGTTGTAGGACACTGTCAGTATATGCGAACGACCCGAACCGGACAATAGAACTTCGACTTCTCGGACTGCCTTTTGGCCCAGTCTGCAGAAATGAAAAACGTACTAAGCACTCCAAGCAATGCAAACGCCGAGTGGCGCCAGTGCAGAAAAAACACAGGATTGAACGAGGTTTGAGCGTTAATTTCTAATCTCGTACAGATAACCTAAATTTATCAGCGCCAATTCCTTTGAGTAACGGAACAGGATGCACCAGATATAAGAAGCCGGGAAAGTAGTAGCATTTGTCTATCGTTCAGTCTCGATCCGAGATGTCAACCCTCACAATCCCGAAGCTTGCAGATGAACTCTTCTTGCGACCCATCGTAATATCGATGAACAGCTTGGCCCTGTCGGCCCTTATGTCCTATGTCATGTCCGCCAACGCAGGTATCGACTGGAGATCGGTACGCTCATTAATTTGATACTAGATCATATCGCTCATGCAATTGTCTTCACAGATAACCATCTGTGTTACATCGGATATCCTTGCCATGGGTGCTGATCATCTCAAAGATAAAGAGGAGGAGTTTTCGTCAGACCGCAATAACGCAAACGATCCACGCCTTGCCTCTTGGTTTTTGTATGCACGGACCTTCCTCATTGCTAGCGCTGTGCTCCTTGCATTTGCACTATCTCAGTGTCCAATTTCGACGCTCCTCACCACGGCAACATTCGTTGCTCCTGCTTTGCTTTGGACCACTCCGATCAGCTTCAATAAGTTTTGGCTAATCTCGAGGCGCCTCCTCGGGAGGTTTAGCAGAGACAGGCAGCAGCCTTCTACCTCTGCGCCTGTCCTGGTCATCAAACGCATTCCTGGCATGAAAGCCATTTTTAATGGCATCATTCGAGGGTATGTCTGCATGTTCGCCTTAAACGATGCACGCGTAAACTAATGCTCTTCAGATGTGGCATCTACGCTGTGGTCTTCTCCGTGTTGTCAGGGTCAGGCAATCTGACTAACACGCTACCGTCTCCATGGAGCGTTGTTCAGCTGTTAGTCTGGTCGACCGTCAACCGCTCATGCCACGCAGTAAGTAGACCGCACATGATCGTACAATTTGACCCTGACCATATCTATAGATCATGACGGATGTCCGTGACTTCGAAGACGATATGAAGGCTGGTGTTCCCACCATACCCGTCCTTCTCGGTTCTATACTCAGAACGAAGGTCATACTAACGGCATGTCATATGCTGGTTATGTTGGCCTTCATCGAAAACACGTACATCATGGGAAGCTGTCTATTTGCCGCAGCTCTGGTGTGGATACTCTGCGAAGACTCGCCAAAAAAGGCGTTTTTGTTCAGCTCTCATTCGCAGTCGTTGTTTATTATCTGGTATTTGTTGACGAGGCATATTTAGCTCCTATCGGCAGACAAATATTAATAACTTAAAGTACGTTAGTAACATTTCTAGATTGCAAAGTGCTGGCTATGGAAGGATACGTTCATAGCCAGTGGCGTAGATTCAAATTGTATCTATATACTTGTCGTTTCAAGTTATTTACCCACCTAGACTTTTAATTCAGAGGCATAAGCCCAATTTTCTTATTATAAGCCGAGATCTCCATAACATTAAAATACAATTACGTTGCTTGAAGATCTGAGAAAAATGCATCATCGCCCTGTGATATCAGTCGGGATCTGCCATGAACGAAAAGATGGATCACAAACTTTTGGTGGACGAATATACTTAGGTCCAGCTGTGTCTCTACTAAGCGCTAAGCGCTCGTCATACTATCTCATCAGCGTCGAGATAAAATTTTATCAGCTAGATATTATGCATGTAGTGCTGCAGCGATATCCACGTCAGCGCCTGCATCTTCAATCTCTTCTCTGAATCCACCAATCGCACGGTTGCTCCATCACCGGCGCCGTAACTCACCGTAAGCATCATACTTCTTTTTGACCGAAAATTAGTTTTGCTTGGCAGTGCACGGCAGTGGCGGTGCCACAGTGGCGAGTTGAAGATTTGAAGAAGTCACAGCTCTTGCCACCATCTATCCGGATTCCTAGTTGATCTTGGGTACCGGTAGAATATGACTCGTAACCAGTCTGACTAGCATTGCGTCAATTTGAGATGGTGAGAATTTATTGACGTAGTCAGACTGGTCGAACTCGGACAGGCGGAGCGAGGAGTTTGAAATTTAGCAGATGCCGGTATGCCGCTTTGGGTGTCAACGTTGAAACTTAACATAGCGTACAGTCTGAGCGAGAGCAGACGCATAACTTGTGCTATATGATCGTAACTACCTCCGGCACGACCGACACCTATCAAATTTCAAACTCCTCGCTTCGCCCCTGCCACGCCACTTGTGCAACCGTATACGCCAGGCTGGTCACGAGCCTACTAGTTGGACTCAATATTATTGGATCGAGCAAATTTTGAAACGCTTGAACACACCATGACCATTTGGTGAGGATTTATTTTTCTATTACATTCACTTTGATAGAGAGATATATGATCATTCATTTGACTAGTGCGTGGATGCGCGTGCTCGAAATGCATCATACTCGGAACCGAAAGAGGAATGGCAGCGAAGACTTCAGGGATTCATCGATACGGCATGCATCAATACGGCAAAGAGACGGCGTAGATTAGACTGGTCACGAGTCTAGGCGTAAATATTATAGGCAAATCGACATTTGGCAAGCCCTGACTACCAACCTACGAGCGCTGGAAGTTTCTTCCTTCACTGTAGCCAAGATCGCCTTCACGTCCTCTCAAATGAGTCTGAAATCCTCTAGCGTTGCATCCAGGGACAAGAAATATGTAGGGATCTCTGTGTCTGAAGTTGACACTGGTGCTCAGCTCGTTGCTGGATTAACTTCGACTCTTGAGCCTGATGAGGCTTTGAGAATAAGGTGCGTTCTGAAAACTACACACACCTCGACATCGTTCAAAAACCTTTCGATTCAGAAAGAAGATCGATAGACATGTCATGCCTCTGATGTGTGGTGAGTCGGCTGCTGTACTCAGTTGTATGAACTGATCGCATCTGATGATCGTTGTTCAGTTCTTTTCGGGTTAGTTGGCTGCGTTCACCACAGACCAGCGCTTACGTGCGCATAGTATCCAAATCATAGACAAGATAACCTTAGGTTCTGCGGCCATCCTTGGAATTCAGTGAGGATTGTGCATCGAGACCAGCCAAACATGGCGCGCTGACGTGTGTTATCAGGCAGGCCACACACTTGACTGTAAACGAGTAAGATAACCTTCAGGCTGTCCTTAGATTCGAAAATCTCATGGTTAACTGACTTCAGGTTCAACTGGTGAGACATGTACACTACTCGAGTTTGCATAGTCCTTACAGTATCTTTCAGGCTTGGCACTGCATTTTATATCGGTTATATTCTGTTCGAGTATCCCCAGAATCTTGCCCTTCAGAGATTCCCGGTCGGGAAGTGGATAAGGTAGGCTTCACATACGTTCTCAATGTGAATATCAATAACAGCATACACAAGTATCAATATCTTCGTCTGGGCAATTGCACTTGCATGTCATGCAGCGTGCAAAAACTTTCATCAGCTTTTTGTCGTGCGTTTGTTGCTGGGCGTATGTGAGGGGTCGAACACCGCCGGATTCTTGATCGTTGGCTCCATGTTCTACACGCGAACAGAACAGACGCTACGGGTTGGTTATTGGTGTAAGCTTCCGTTTTCAAACGATTGACGAAGTGGACTAATTTGATATTTGGGAACCTAGCTATGATGCTTGGCATTGGTGCGCTTACTGCAATGTATCATCGATCTTGTCGCCCAAGCCAGTAACATCTAGCACAAATAATTTCTGGTTTCATCAGCTTTGGTACTTTGCACATTCACACCTCTGGGTTTGAACCATGGCAATGGTCGGCCATTTTATTTTCATTGTTTCATATTCTCTCTGATAGATCGCAGGCTTATGATAATCACCGCTATAATGACGATGATCCTTGCCATCTTATTTTGGTGAGTTTACGAAGCAAATGTTCCTAGCGGCTAATCTCCATAACCGTCTCTACCTGATAAAGGTTCTTGTTCCCTGATTCGCCTACGAACGCCTGGTTCCTTACTCCCGATGAGCGAGTGAAAGCCGTGCAGCGCATCAAGGCATGCCTGTTAAGTTACGAGACCAACCATCATCTTACAGCTAGCACAGGAAAACCAAACAGGGGTAGAAAACAAACACTTTAAGAAGGAGCAGTATGTATTCGATGCAATTGCAATTTTTCATGTCTGACGTATAGATCTCTAGGATGATCGAAGCCCTGACTGACCCCAAGACATGGCTCTTCGCTCTCCTCGCGGCTCTATGCAATGTGCCTGCCTCATTATTAAACCAGCAATCGCTTATCCTCGTTTCCTTTGGATTCAATTATCTACAGACGACTCTCTTGTCTTGTATTCCTGGTGTGATTCAAATTTTCACAGTCTTCACTGCCGTTTGGCTTGCAGCACGACGGCCCAATTCCAGAGCATACGTTGGTGCTATGTACTTCATTCCGGGGTTGTTGGGCGTCTTGCTGGTCAATCTGCTTCCTTGGTCGAATCGGGTATGTGTTTTGCTTCTGCGAGTCTACGGAGCCGTCTTTAATACCGCATCTCACATGATATCAGACTGGGCTTCTTGCTGGCCAGTTCCTGGGTGCGTGTGAGGCTTGTAGTGCGTTTCTATGTTCATATACCCATAGCTGGATTCCCTGTGCCCGCATTCGTACTGTCGTTATCGTGGCTTAATAGTGTGACTGCTGGTCATACGAAGAAGGTAGGCACTCTGTCAGCTACTGAAGTCGCTCCTCGAATGAAAAACAACCTGCAGGTTGTTACTAACGCCACTGTGCTCTCGGCTTACTGCATTGGCAGCGCAGTTGGCCCTTTGATGTGGAAGGCACAGTATAAGCCGCGGTAGGTCATTCAGCCGACTCTAGGAAGGAAAGATGATCATCAATCATATATAGCAACCACATTCCATGGGCTGTGATTGGGATGTGCGATATCGCCTGTCCGGTACTTCTCTTTGTCATCCGTGCTGTTCTTGTCCGAGAGAACCGAATCCGCGATGCAGAGCCTGTTGACGACGGAGAAGAATACGTTATCGAGCGAATCACTGAGGATGGGAAGCGTGTGAAAGTCAAAATTGACAAGGTGCCTCCTCCGATTTTTTTCATATGCAGTGCTGATATTCTGTCTGTACTAGGAATTCCTGGATCTGACCGATAGGCAGAATAGGGACTTCAGATACATTTTGTAGTATTAATTGAGCAATGGCTGGTATTTAAATACCCGCAAATAAGCGAGGTGGCGCAGCATTTCCTGCTCCTGCGCACCTCGTCGGTTTCAGTACTTATTGGCTACTGGATCTACGTCTTTTTGTATCGTTTTTAGTTCAATCATGCTCCTAGAAGACCCTCATCTGACCATAGGCCTGACTTCACGTCGCAAGAACACCAAGCATCACGTCGACAATCAATTGACGACGGTCTTATAGACGAATACGCAGCTCCATCATTAGCAGCTTTGTGGACCTCAGTAAACAATGTAGACAAAGAGCATTTAGCCCTCGGGCAGCAGCGCCTGCGGGAGATACGACAAAGAGGGCAGGAAGAAGAGCAACGTCGGCAATTATGTAGAGAGGAGGCTGCGAGAGAAAGAAGGAGAATACCCTCATGCACGGAAAAGTACCTTTCGACCCCACCATCCGAGTCATTCCTGCGCAGTACACCATAAGGAGATTGAAAGACGGAAGCTATTCTAAACTCCATTATTTCACCACAGAGGCCTCGAGGATGCCAAAATATCTAACCTAGTAGCAGAGCCAGACACTATAGTCATGCTCCCAGCCTGAGATGCGGCTGCACTCGTGGATTCCCGTAGCCGCAGTAAGGGCAACCCAGGTGAGTCTACCTCAGGCCCTCGTCACAAGTTCTCAGTCACCGGTCACCGTCCTATTGGCAGACTGATATCCGCTTAGAACTGCCTGCTATTGTCCTGTTTCATTCTACACTACTCCGTTAATATTCTTCAACGTTCAACAATCGGTGACGTCCTGAAAAACGGCTGGTAATGCTCCTGCAATGGTATCGTGTGGTATTCTGCATACACTTGTCATGTGGAGTTGTCGTGCTCGAATCCAGCTCCGCAGCTAGCTGACATGTCCCATCGAGCGCACAAATGGTAGGAAAGATAACATTTCAGCCCTCAAGGGAGGACCTGACCTCGACAACCCACAGTTTCGGGCTTCGTTGGCGCTGTGATCATCCATTCCTATGAACGGTCTTGTGCTCGCATCCCCCGTGTCCTACGTGATCGCTGAACGGTTTGATTGGAGGTCGGTAAGCCCTCTGTTTGTGGATTCTAGTCCTTACAATCTTCTGATTGAATAGTGCAAAAGATCACTGTATGCGTTACATGCGATATTCTTGCTGTTGGTATTGACCACTTTAAGAGCAGCTGTCGCAAAACGCTTCGTCCTCCCGTTCTACCTTGCTCGCATGTTTCTGGTCCTCAGTGTATCGCTTACCTGTGATCCCTTTATATCAAGGTTCACTATCGTCATTACAATTTCTACTACCCCCGTTTTCCTGTGGACGACCCGCTCGATTATAGGCGAATTGCTGCAGTACACCAGAGATTCATACCTGCAAAGAATGGTCAAGAAGTAGGGTATAGTTCATCGATATCTGATACTCCATTCGTCATCAAACAAACAAGTTCCTGGCATGAAGGCTATATTCAACTGGATTTCAACAGCATCATTCGAGGGTACGTGCTATCCCATCCTGACAGTTTTCCGGTTTTGACTTGAAGAACTCTGGTCGTGGGATATTCTTCGTAGTTCGCTCAGCACTGCAGGCATCGTGGAAGTCAGACTTGAACGCGCTCCCATGGACGATCGTTGAGATTGTCATTTGATCGATAGTCAATCGCACTGGTCAATCTGTAAGGCGGTGTTGTGCATGTAATGAAACTCCCAACTGGACCTTAGGAAGTTTCGTTTCTCGAAAAGTTTCCTTCCTCAGCATTCACTCGCAATTGTTATGTACGCTATCATAAACAGAGGCTGGTCTCTGTAGACTGCTGTTATCTTACGAATGAAGAGAGGCTCGCCGAGACTGGGAACGGGAAAGTGAGTAGGTGGGATAACAGTTAAGAAAGTGTACGTAGAACCGTAATACGGAGTGATTGCGTACGTACAGGAAAAGGACTTAGGAAGTTCTTCACTCACACTTAGGCTGTGACGATTGATTAGCTGGCTGGCTGGTGATGTAAGTACTACATATAGTAAGTACCTCGTCAGCTCCTTGAAGACATAAAAGTGATCCGAACTATCACGAGTTTGAATGAAGATGATGTAAATGTGTACGCAAGTCAAGTGCACGGGTTGCACGCTCCGCCTGTCCGCCAGACCGAAGCGGCCACCCGGATGGTGGTTTACATAAGCGGACGCCTCACTACGTTAATTCACATGCGAGCGCTTGTGAGCGGTGGTATGGGGCATAATACAGCTTTTCCTCCATGCACTGACCACATAGTACTCTCGAAACTCGTCTTTCTCTGCCTTCATCACCCCATTCATTCTTGACATGGAGGCAGCATCCAACCCATTATCTTGGGATAGCATACCCTCAATGCCCCCGTCTGCGACGCGAGCAGTAAAGGATATCACGTTCGGGAGTGTGCGTTTCCAAGGCTGAATTAATTTTCTTGACCAACGAGAATGACAATCAGTTCCTGTGACACAGATCGCAGGCATGGTCTCCAAAGTTTTTGAACACCCATTCGACTTGACGAAAGTGCGATTACAATCACAAGTCCTCGATACCACCGCTAGATTCAATGGACCAATAGACTGTCTTGTTAAAACATGGAAAAACGAGGGCGTTAGAGGTCTTTACCGCGTATGTGATCTCTACTCAGTAGAACTTCCTTGTTGGCGTGAGCTCATTCTGGTCCTAGGGCCTTCCGGCGCCAATAGTGGCTGCCATGCTAGAGAATGCTTCATTATTCCTGTCATATAGCGAACTTCAAGACGTGATACGACGGATCAATTCTCAGCCTTTGTCGCACGATCTTTCGTTGCCTCAGCTTGCATTGGCTGGTGCAGGCGCAGGCGCCATCACTAGTTTCTTACTGCAAGTCACTCACGTCTGGTATATGAGTTGTAATTAATTCTTGTTTTTGACTAGCACACCGGTGGAACTTGTAAAATGTAAAATGCAAGTACAGATGATTGCTCCCAAGCCGCTTTCAGTCTCGATACCTGAATCCACTGCTGCAGCAGCCCTAGACTCGAGCGCGGCACCCATTTCTCGCACCCTTCCCGGTCCTATAGCCGTTCTCATGTCCGTCATCCGCGCAGAAGGCCTCCGCGGCCTTTGGCTTGGCCAAACTGGCACCCTCATCCGTGAATGCGGTGGCGGAGCTGCATGGTTCGCCACGAAAGAGTTCGTCGGAACAAAGCTAATAAAGCAGCGCGGCTCCGAGCTTACACGGAAAGACATCCTCCCATGGGAATCTGCGTTGTCTGGTGCATGCGCAGGCGGAATATTCAACTTTTCCATGTTCCCCGCCGACAGTATCAAGAGTACGATGCAAACCGAGGAAGACTTGCGTCCTCGAGGCAGTAATGCTCCGAAGCCAACGTTCCTCGGCACCGCAAAAGCAATGTACAGGGCGCAGGGTGTGAAGGGGCTTTACGCTGGATGCGGTATCACTGTTGCTCGATCAATACCTAGTAGCGCGATTATATTCCTGATTTACGATGGCCTAAGTAGCCGTTTTGGGTAGTAGAATGGGCACGAGATTAAAATATTGCTGACCTCTCGTGCATTGCCTTGATGTCAATGTTAACTTTACGTGACATGATCTACACGGCTGAATCTATCCATTGGAACTTTGTTGGAACTGCTGACTACGTGTCAAAGCACCTACTGACTGATTACTTTTCTTCCCCAACTACATGTGGAATGAGTGGGTGAGCACACTTGAATCAAACTTGAGGGAGGTGAACATTCGCAACTTAGAACGGACTACATGTAAAAGAATGTATTATCCTCCAGGGAAAACATCGCAAAGTGATAAATGAAATATATAAACGAGTGGAAGGGTGCCCAGAGTTCATCATGGTGCACAAACAAACTATAAACCAAAGAACAACCATCACCAAGAAAGGGAAAACATCGTAGTGATAAATGAAATATATAAACGAGTGGAAGGGTGCCCAGAGTCCATCATGGTGCACAAACAAACGGAAAACTAAAGAACGACTATCACCAAGAAAGGAAGAAAGAAGAAAAAGCGACACAAAATGACGCTTGATTCTTGAGATGACGTAGAACTAAGCACGCCTATACTCATACCCTGGCATCTCCGAAGGGCATCTCTGCATCAACTCAGGAAACATGCATCCCTCAGTCCACCCATTTGGGGCCATCGCGGGTCCGGTATACATGGTATAGCTGCCTGCAGTATCTGCTGGGCCGTATAAAACTCCCAGCGACTGGTTGTAGATAGGCAGGGGAGGCTGGTATTGAGTGGATTGGGGTTGGTATTGGGTGGGATAGGATTGCATGGCCTGCGGTTGCATGGGTTGGGGTTGGTATTGGTGTTGGTAGAATGTACCAAGGGGAAGGGGCTCTGCCGCCGACGGAGGCTGGGACGACGGCTGGGCCCCGGATGAATTTGTTGCGGAGGGACCACCACGATTGCACGGCCGAGGAACATACCCATGTTCTTTCTTGCGATGCTGTGTAAGGTTTGAAGAGGTGTGAGTTCTGTAGTTACAGCCATCGTGAGGACAGATGAAGCGTTGCTCGCCCGTACTAAAATGAAATCAAATAGAATTGTTGATCAGGTGGAATCGATGATGGTGATGAATGACCACGTACTGCCCATCAGTATGATAATGGAAGCTTGCTTTATGCAATGTCACAAAGTTACACCCGCCGCCCCAGGTGCAGAAGTACGCTCTGTGAGTGAATATAAGTTAGGTGAGCTGCATACCATAGGGTAGAAACACGTACTTTTCTGGTGAATGCATGGCCTCGTGTGCCTTGCAGTCGGCGAACTTGGGAAAAGTTTGGTTGCAGATAGAGCAAGCGTAGGTCTAAATATTACAAGAGTTAGTCTTCAAGTTAATGCATCAAGTATGCGCCTGATTAGGCTTACCTTTGGCATGATTGGTTATATAAGAATATCAGTGAGGATACTACTAGTGAGGTGAATGTACGATTCAACTTGAGCGGATGATGGTGCTGGGTAAGTATCAGGGTAGGTATATATACGATTCCCTGCTGTGGTCATGGTATTGTGCTTTGCGATGGACAAACACATGCAGAGTTGTGGTTTTCAGTGGACAGACGCTTGTGGAATTCGCACAAGGATACTTTGCGGAGGTTACTAGTGGATGTGGCCCATGTAACGCGTGAATGCATTGTTGTTGAAGCAACCACATCCGCTTGAATGCTTCATCATCTGTTACGGCATCGAGCGAACATCAGGATAGAGTTATTTGCCAGAGACATGCCATGTCGATCGAAATTTAACGTGGGGAATCGGGTGGGGACCGACATGGATGTTGACACCGAGGTCCAAAAATTTCGGGAGGTCTTTGTCGTCGTGACCGGCCTGGGCCGTGCAACAGGCAGTCATTCTATCAACCCATCAAGCTGCTAGGTGCTTTGCATGTCCAAGCGTAGTGCTTTGAGACTTTCATCCTTGTGGGCAGGACCGGGTGAGAGTTGTCAATTTCAGCAGAGATAGTCAAATGAATGAGATCGGACGCGCGATGAATCGTAAAGTCCGTGCAGGTCAGTGCATTTGCATACATTTGTGTCTATTGCTACTAGCTAATGCTAGACAGTACGTCGGCGTGATGAGGGGACTTGTCGAGACTGCGGTTGACACCCTTGTATGACTGTAAGTACGAGCGAGTGTCAGGAACGTAACGTACTAGCAAGTTCCGACATGCAAGTATGCCCGAGTTGTACAATTAACATAGAGTCCAACGAAGTATGCTCAAGTTGTCACGGTGTATTCTTGCAGAGACCCTGCTGTTACTTGAGGGACACCTTGCATGACAAATCAGTACAAACACCTTGGAATCACTACACACCGCAACGATTACAGTGGTATCACACTACTTCGTGATAGTGATAGTAGAACTTCATGGGTGCGGCAGTGGTGGTTGTGCACTACCGTTGATGCATGGATGCGGCGGATTCCGATCGCTGAATGAATGAATTTCTATTATAAGCTCAGGTCCAGGTACTTAGGTACCTCGGCCCTCGACTGATATCACAAGGCGATCACATGCGACGGTCCTCTAATAAATTCATTTTATAGAGAACTCGGTTTACCACAGCTGGAAAATTGTGCTTATGCACATAAAAAGTCTATGTAGCTAGGTTTAACGTTACGATAATTATGGTAAGAAAACAACAATCTACATATATATCCAGTTGCATCTCGAAACTTTCCTGAAGTACTTCATCGAGTCATCAGCGGGTTGGATCGTGCTACAGAATGCTACAGAGCGCTCTGTAGCACTCTGTAATCATGTGTAATGAATTACGTTTCCCTGATGTTGTTGATTATGACTGAGGATACTGCCTCGTCAACAAATACCAAATGGTAAACAGGGACTGCGAATGGGAGCTCAACAAGAACGCTTTTTTTGGCGAGTCTCTGCCCAGTATCCACACCAAAACTGCGGCGAATGAACAGCTTCCCATAATGTATGTGTTTTCAATGAAGGCCAACATAACCAGCATATGACAAGCCGTCAATATAACCTTGGTTTTGAGTATTGAACCAAGAAGGACGGGTATAGTGGGGACCCCGGCCTTCATATCGTCTTCAAAGTCACGGACATCCGTCATGATCTATAGATATAGTCAGGGTCAAATCGTGCGATCATGTGCGGTTCACTTACTGCGTGGCATGAACGGTTAACGGTCGACCAGACTATCAGTTGAACAACGCTCCATGGAGACGGCAGCGTGTTAGTCAGATTGCCTGATCCCGACAACACGGAAAAAACTACAGCGTAGATGCCACACCTGAAGAGTATTGGTTTGCATGCCGTGTATCGTTCAAGGTGAACACGCAGACATACCCTCGAATGATGCCATTAAAAATGGCTTTCATGCCAGGAATGCGTTTGATGACCAGGACAGGCGCAGAGGTAGAAGGCTGATGCCTGTTACTGCCAAACCTCCCAAGGAGGCACCTCGAGATTACCCAAAACCTCTTGAAGCTGATCGGAGTGGTCCAGAGCAAGGCAGGAACGACAAACATTGCCGTGGTGAGGAGCGTTGAAATTGGACACTGAGATAGTACCAATGCAAGGAGCACAGCGTTGGCGGTGAGGAAAGTTCGTGCATATATAAACCAACAGGTGAGGTATGGGTCGTTGGTGATAGTGCGGTCCAACGAAAACTCCTTTTCTTTATCCTTAAGATGGTCAGCGCCAATGGCAAGGATATCGGACGTGACGCAGACGGTTATCTGCGAAGATAATTGCATGAACGACATTATCTAGTATTAAATTAATGACCATACCGGTCTCCAGTCGATACGTCCGTTAGCGGACATCACATATGACATAAGGGCCGACAGGGCCAAGCTGTTCATCGATATCATGATGGGTCGCAAGAAAAGCTCATCTGCAAGCTTCGGGATTGTGAGGGATAACATCTTGAATTGAGACTGAACGGCAGGTAAACACTACCTCCCCTGCTTTTTATGTTGGGCAACCGCGTTCTGAAATTTGAAAGACTGGCACAAATTAATTTAGGAGATCTTATCAGAGATGCTTTGGAGCAGATTTGAAAACCATATGCCAACGTTCAAACCTGTGTTTGTTTTCACCACTCACGCCCCCGGAATTTTGCGTTACGAGCGGCTTAAGCCTTCGATATCTGCACGCCGGGCCACAGGCGGTACTTGAGGTCGCACAAAAGTTCTATGGTCCGGTCCAAGTCGTACACAAACGGTGTCTTACAACAGTTGGTCAGTGGGACTAAACGAAGGCAGTATCAACAGGCAATTCCCATGTACGCTTTTGTTGTGCAACACTCACATTCGAACATTTAGGCATGTATTGTATTCCTGTCAAACTGGCGGCAAAAGTTTTCCCGATGTGCAATCGGTGACGCCTAACTGCGCTCAAAAGCGCCCAAGCGAATTGTGATCTAAACGAATACTTCGTTACCGGTCAGATACGGTCAGGCCCTTAGATTCACTGGGCCAGGCACGCGATGGGGACAACGAGGTGCTCGTGGATGTTTGTGAGAGCCTCATGGCTGTGTACCCGTGCTATATCCTTGGCAGTGTGTTTGCTTTGTCGGAAATTCCTAATTTGGATTTCAACACCTTGTAAGGCTTTGAAATGGGTTAAAGTCCTTGAAATCGCCATAGAGATGCGGTTGCAATGGTATGTCCTATATCACAAAAATCCGAAAGTGGTTGTAATCCCCGACTCCCAAGGAGGGTCTTTGTCGGTGTAATGCCCATCATGAAGCTCTTGATTAATTCCGCGGAGAGGTGCCAATAGGTGGGATGTCCGATGATGACATTACCGACTGCTCGAAGGCGCTCTCTTGCTTCACGATAACACTTGCGCTCCCCTGGAGTTCGCATTGGCCCTGCACCACGCGCCATTGTGCAAATCACTACTGCCACCAATGTCAATATTTTTTGGCCAAGACCGGGACCCGTTCTCCTGGTTTTTCTACCATTGTCGATGGATACCGAGGATCAAGTCAGAAGACTTCGTTCTTGACACAACAGCCCAAATCTGGTGGATCAGCTCTCGCCACTGTCAGGCCTAGGCCTCATCACCGCGACAGGTGGGTTTCACAAAATGTACCTGATTGCAGATATGCTGTGGAGGGAGCCACAAGTTACAACTTGGGCACGCGTTCTTTCAGGAACAACGCGAACGTAAATGACGTAGCGGGAAACGTACTATTGATGGTGAAACATGTGTGGGGAAGGCAGAACGACGTGATGGACTGCGAGAAAGCTAACATGCCGTGGATATCAGCGGAATCAATAAGGACTGCAACGATCCGGCTATAAATCAGTATATCTCGATTGACAAACCCCAGGCAATTCTAGACGTAAAGAATATGACTCTGTCGCGGGGCTATATTGCAACGTTCCGTACTACTGTTATGCTATTGCAAGACCGTTGCAATATTTAGGCAAGCACACTTTGTCGAAATGAGTCGTGGAGGCACAATCAGTGACTAGCGGAGTTATAAAGTACGACGAAACTTTTGAAATCCAAATTAGGAAATTCAAACGTACCTGCAAAAATTAGATCCAAGTTTAAGAGTACCCTACATACTAATCATGTCACTACCCGGTGCTGTGCGGCTTGCCACCTCCTGCTCACCAAGAGCTGTGTCCTGTCGCAGCCTTCAATTTCTTCGCCCGACACAGAGCTTTGCACACAGTGGTATCTCTCGGTCACCCAAAACATCATACATCCGGCTTTACGCCTCGAGGTCGAAGGCGAAATCCACTGCAGACCTAGTCCCGGGATCTAAACAAGCTCTCACTTCTGAGGTTTCTCGTTTGGAATATGGAAAATCCGAGGCGAAGATGAGTGCCGCTGTCGAGTGGTACCGCAAAGAGGTAGCTGGCCTAGAGACTCGTGCAAGTGGTCGCGTCACCCCAGCCCTTCTCTCGCCAGTACGCGTAGAACTTCCAGGCAAAGGAAAAGACCTTGTGAAACTCGAGGAAGTGGCCACCATTGGCGTTCGAGATGGCTCAACCTTGATTATTACGGTGTTTGAGGAACATGTGAGCACCTCGTCGTGGTTAGGCTCGAGGACATTCGCTCATTGGTGCACCAGTAGAATTTGAAAGCAGTGGAACAGGCCCTATATGCCGCAAAGCTACCAAATATTATTCCTCAGAAGCAGGATTCCAGGACAATCAAGATTCCCATACCTAGGTCACTCGCTTCGTCTTCCTGTGGCATGGTCGTTCATCATTTCTCTTTTAGGCCAACAGTCGAAGCCCGCAATGCGTTGACTGCGACTGCTCAGCGAATGGCAGAGGATACCCGGGTACAACTTCGAAAAATACAACAGGCTAGTGTCAAAAAAGGCGACTACAAAAAGCACTCAGTTGAGCTCGAAGAAGTGAGTTTGACTTACTTTTTACTCACTTCATCATTTTATCTTATCCGACCTATTAGTTTCAGAAACTTGCAGATAAGAACTCTGCCGAAGTAGACAAGATTCTTGCACATATGAAGAAATCAACTGGGGGCCGGTAGGGTATCCCTCCATGGAGAGGCTGTACCCTATCGACATCTTTCAAGGCATCAAGCTTCAGGCCTCACTATCTGTGTCTATCATTATCGGTGCAGATACTAATTCAAGGTTCATGATACATGCGAATATTCCATATACGACAGGAATTTTTCGACATTACTATAAGTGAAGCCGGGAAAGGCGACGGTAAGAATATCAACAACCACTGCACTGGGCCACTGCCTGATGTACTAGTTGATACATTCGAAAGTGATAAATAATAATCAAGCTTGTCTGATCCTGTCCGTTGTTGGTTACAGAAATCAAAGGTCTGGCGTCCACGACGTAGGGTAAGGGTGTTGGTTTTGACTGCGCTCTCGTGCAACGAGTACAAGGTGGCTTCATGAGCTTGAGCGACGAACAATTTGGATTGGTTAATTACGCTGCTACTATTGTAGCTCCACATAGTTTGTAAATACGTAGACTGCGACATGAAACTTCGATAATTATACACTACTAATAGTTAAAGTTATTTACTCAGGACTGCAAAAGACCAACGGGCTCTAAGGTATAACATCTGCAAGGTATAAGTCTACAAATTCGATGGATTAGGATAATGATAACGGCCAGAACAATCTTACAACGGAACAAGAAGCAGGAAAAGAATGAAGCAGACATAATTGAAAATTTCGGGTTGCGCGGTCCTATGCATCTCATCAAAGGAGGTTGCCTCGGTGGTCGAGACCAAACACTAGCCAAGCATGAGCAAACGTGCAGGAAAGAGCAACACGCCACGTACAATTTGCCAGTTCACGGACACTCATCCCTACAATAGAAGTGCTCATTAGCAACGTGTCCAAGACTGATGGCGAATACCTACTGCCAATCTTCTTTCCGGAGCCTTCACCAAGGCTACCATCCGCAAGGTTTCGCTGATACTATGTATTAACAGAGTATAAACGTGAAGTATAATTTGCTCTACCTTGCGCTCCTGGAGAGCAAGAACACGATCCTCGACAGTATTGGCAATGACCAACCTGTGCACGAAGACATCTTTCTGTTGACCGAGACGGTGAACTCGGTCGAACGCCTGGCTTTCGATTGCTTCGCTCCAGCCAAGATCCAGTGAGATGACGCCTGTGAGGAGTCAGAACGCAGCGAAGTAAGAAACCGGGAAGGCTTACGATTAGCCCTTGTCAGATTCAACCCAACACCTCCGCATTTCAAAGACATAAGCATAACCTGTGCAGTATTGCCCATCATGAACACTCGGACAGCCTGATCCCTTTGACTGCGACTCATCGACCCTTGGTACCTAAACCGAAAGATAACATCAACTCAGATAAGCAGGTACGAAATCATCAGAAGATTCGTACTTCACATGGGGTACTTTCTTCTCTGCAAGGAAGTCAGAGACGAGTTTGAGACATTCGGTCCACTGCGATATGATTATGGTCTACAAATGTCATCAAGACTACCACCACTATATTGTTTGGAAGTCAAGCCGCACCTTGTCGCCAGGACTTTGTTTGGCCCACTTCTCTAGGTGCTCCATCATGTGCTGAGAGACATTAAAACGATTTCGCAAACGAAATGTGACAACCTACATTCATCTTTGTAGAAGGAAGGAAACGCGACATCATTTTGACTTGACCCATGGAACCAGGCACCTTCCTGGGGCTCCGGCCTATGACCACTTCTCTCTCATCTGCGTCAAGTTCATCAGCAGACTCAACGACCATCGCGCGGCGCTTTCTCAGACGTTTCTTGATGTCGTGCCTGGCATCTTTCTGTTCTTCATCCTCGCCATCCTCGACAATAAAATCACTCATGTCGTCGTCGTCATTTTCGGATTCACCATCCGAGTCATACACAGCACGCTTCTTATGAATGCGCCTGGCCCCGCCTTTGCCCCTCGATCCCCGGAGTATCATATCAGATATCTCGGGCATCTCATCATCGGAAGATGTCGACACGTCTCCAGACAACTCGGCATCAGTGGGTTCAAATGCTTCGCGAATGAAAATAGCATCCGCAGAAATGGGTGCGCGACAGCTAGGACCTGCAAAACAAAATGAGTGTGGCAAGAAGCTTTACGTGCGTGACTCACAAGGCTTCTCATTACTACGGTATTTACGAAGGTCCTCTGCGTCTTGGACAAAGGGAGCATTAAGGACGTTGGCAATACACTCGCGACAAAAGGTATGGCCGCATGCCGTCACACGGGCCTCGGTGAATGTATCCATACAGATGGGGCATTCCTCGCCATCGGCAGTGGCATCCAGGGACTATATTCATGTCAATATCATGAAATCCATGTGACAAGAAAAACACACCTCTTTTTCTGCCTGTATACGTGCCATCGCGCACTGGAAATATTTTGCTTTCAGCTTCGTGACAAAATCTGATGACACCAGTCGAACTGCGCGGGCCAACTCAGCCTTAAGGTCATGCCCGCCATCTAACTGATCTACTGCAACAAGGGCTTCGGAAGTCTCTTGAATAAGAGCGGGATGGGAGCACACTTGTCGAAGACGCAAGAGCATCACAAGGACTATTTTAAACGAGTCATTAACAACAATTGAGTTGGTGAAATGACGAAGTACCTTGATGATAGTTTCTAAACAAGTAGTAATTGAGATTTTCAATTTTTTTCTGAACAGTGGGCGACTTACTTCAAGACAGTGCCAGCGCGGAGAAAACGATTGAATTTAGCTTGAGAGCGAGCTTCGACCTGAAAGACGTGCAATGAGCGCAACGCATATATGTACTGGTAGAATATACCATTTGGTATATTTCGCGCTCCTCCTGGGAAAACTCTAGTTTCTCCATTTCTACATGTTTTGTGGGAAGTTCGATGAGTCTCTTGCCGTCTAACATTGAATCCTTCTTGCGACGCAGCATAATTGATATGAAGATAGCCTGGAGTCTCTTGCTTGCCAATTCAGCTATATTTAAGCACGGTTAAGTGAAGGTGAGATCTTAGTCGAATATCGACGTACGATTCTTTTTCTCGATGATTGAGACGTGTCCATTAAACTGTTGCCAATCGTACCAAGGACGGAAGCGAAGGAAGCGAAATAGCGCGTATGCATCAACTAGGCCGTTGATAATGGGCGTGCTGTCCGAAAATTAGTGAATAGTGGTCTTGATGGATGAGATGCTCACCCTGTGAGGCACCAGCGATAGGTCGTGTCAAGATCGGTGACGCTACGAGATATTCCTGCAGGGTCATGAGTATATAGGAGAGAGAAACGTGGCAAGTATTACTTGTGCGCCGGTTGCGAATGTTCTGTGCCTCATCGAGAATAACACGGTACCATTGGACTTGAAAGAGAAGCCCAACTATATACAAAGTCAGTCTAGGTGACCACAGTGATCACCATGACTCACATTCTCTCTTTTTCTTCTTATGTTTCCTATCATCCCCCGAATCGCTTTCGATAAAGGAATCGGTCTGCTTCTTGCGCTTTTGAGCCTTCTGCTTGGCTTTTTCTTCCGCCTCCAGATCTGGCCATTCCAGTGCAAGAGTCTACCAGAGTCAGTAATCGATGAAAGATATCACACTCAAACGCACATGATAAGTAGTTAATACGATGTCGTATTTCATCAAGTCGGTCTTTTTGCGAGGTTTGTTGGAGCCTCAATAGAAGAGAACGTGAGACTTGAATTCAATCGAAACCCATATACAATTCTGAACGTACCATGGTAAACTAGACACTTCAAATTGTTGGTGGTCTTCATCTCGATCTCAAGCTTCCATTGGTCCAGTAAGGCCAACGGAGCGACGATAAGGTTCGTCTTGCATATAGGGTCATTGGAGGGGTTGGCGACGATCACCGAGATTATCTGCACCGTCTTCCCTAAGCCCATCTCATCGCTCAAACAGCCTCCCTTGTCGCCACATTTCTCGCGTTCCAACGCCCATGCGACGCCAATAACCTGGTGAGCTAACAAAGAAATGGACATTCCTGGAAGGAGATCGTACAGGCTTTTCAATCCAAGTTTTTTGAGGGCCTTGTCGACACTGGCATTACCATCGAATTGCTCCGCATTGCCAGCAGCGATCAGAAACTTGTCAATACTGCAAACAGCACAGAAATGAGAACGTGAGAACGCATTCATTCCGAAAGATTTCGTGACGTACTCGCCCGGGTTCGCAATCGGTCCAATAAATAGGTCTTTACCCCTCCCGTAGAAGTCGCCATCCTCGTCAAAGCGTGCGTCACCGGTGTCAGCACCACCGAAGATACCAGGCAGCTCCCAATCCTCCTCCGAGTCTGTGTCCAACCCCATAGCAACGTCGAGACGGACCCGTGATCCCGATGCAATAGGGTGGTGATTAAGAGTTGGACAAGAATATCCAGTATTGTCGCCGATGTAGCGAGGGACTTGGGAAGTCATAGTGGAAGGTCCTTGACTGACGGTTCTGTCTTTCGTCAATTTAGAAAGCTTGGCTAGGGAGTTAAGGTCGTTTTGAATGTTGTTGATCCTTAAACGGGTTCCATCAGAACTGCGGTGCAAGGATGGTCGGTGGGCCACAGGAAGCACAGCCTTTTGATCTGCGAACTGTACGGGAATGTGGCCTTGCGAAGGCTGCGTGTTGGAATTGACAGGCGCCTTGGGCGGTTGAATGGTTGTGCGCTTAGATACGGAGAGAGTGGAAACTCCAGATTTGTTTTCCTCATTCTCCGCACCAAGAAACACGAGAGACGAGGAAGTGCGCTTTCGAGGAATGACAGTTTCAGCCGGCTCAGGCTTTACGGCAGTCTCAGCAGTTCCACGCCTCAATGGCAATGACACGAACGCTTTCATTACTGGGGCTTGTCGCGCAGATGAACTTGGGCTGGAGAGACTATCTACATTCAGATTTGCATCGAGCTGTGCCAACAAACCACCTCGTGGCGGCTTTGTATCGACGGCGACGTTTGACGTGAGTACGTTTGGCTGCGCAATCATTGTCATGATAGAGCTGGCAGAAAACGCGATTTTACTTACTGTTCCATTCTTGATCGCTTTTCCAGCATGAATGGTTTTGACGCGCAGAAGTCTTGCTTGTTTGTGCTTCGGTGTACTGGCATGGACCTAAAGGGGTTATGTCCATAGGCAAAAAAAACTCGCATACACAATACCATACCGTGTAATTAGCCAAACTACCAAAACCGTCTGCTTTGCCACCCGAGCGGCCAGATCTGGCACCCAATTGGATATTGATAGCAGCACAAGCCTGCTCCAAGCAGGTGACCACGCCATCTATAAATTTAACTCAACAAATTTTCACATTCACAATTGGGAGCACATACATCCTGTCTTTGGCTGCAACGTGACTCTAAACTATAATTAAGGTCATCAAAGAAGTATTGATGTGACACCGGATGATAGAAACGTACGTTGGTGTCATAAGGATCTATATCTAGATGCCGGCGAAGCGCTGTGAGATAGGACTTGGGAATAGACGCGTCCTGAAATATGTTCAACCTTGCCGCACAAAAAACGCCGCACAGACGAGCGCCAATTAATATGTACTTACCTTCACGTGTTTCGGAAGGCCGAGCTGCTCCCTTGCGATAGCAAGAATATCAGGCTGATGTGACGATGTGTCCATAGTGGCATCAAGATGTAAGATAAGCGCTAGCAGCAAAATGGAAGAAGTGCGAACTGAAAGACAGGACGCGACGTGATACTTTAAAGCGCGTTTGTTTGTCATTCTTTGGTTGTCCGCATTTGGATTGAATGACCCAGCTTTGACCATGGCCACGTTGACTTCTTCAACTTTAACTTTGTTCCATAGTCTGCGCAAGGGACGGCTACATATATCCTTTGAACGCTCGTCGATGATTCCATGGTGATTGCCTTCTATCCTGTATTCAGCCCTCCTTCTGTGATGTTGGATATTGGATCAGTTGAATGGAAGACCTCGGATGACATAGATCAAGCTCCTACCATTGACACTGCTAGCGGCCATCGACAACGTGTTTTGTGCAGCCTAGTGAAATGTCTTTCTCATTATTCGGGTGAAGGACCACAACCCGGATTCTGCCAATGGAACTGCCCATTTAATGACCCAACTTATCTATGGGATTTATTTGTGAGCGTACCTCATTCTCAACTTATACCCTCAGTCCGTGGTGCCATATGACCGTGGTTTGTATATAGGTTCACTGGCTCTGACTTCGTTCCTGACTTCCGGTAATCTACTAGCTCGGCCCTCTAGACTTAGGGGTTGAGGTCTGCAGCTTGAGTTTAGGAGCATTTTCACGCCCATATCAGTGGAAGAAGGCGCAAAGATGCACACGGTGCGCTGCAATGTCATAATAACAATCAGTGACATGTAAGATAAGACACAGCGTTATTTGACGCATGGATCTGTCTGGGCTATCGCTGTATCCGTAGGTCACATGGTCTGCGCACAAGGTTCGACATTACTATTTCTGGCTAGACCTGTATCCCGTGAGTTGTTATGCATACACCAGGCGAAGCTACTAATGCCAAGGCCAGCCGCCGTTACTGACTTATGATTATGAACACGTCCGTTATTTGTACTTCCGCGTGAGTGTAATTTTACTCTCTTTGGAGCCAGAAGTATTCCTTACCGTTGATCCTTGCTTAGTCTAGAGGTGCCTCTTGGTTCTCCATCGCTATTTGACAACCATGTCTTCAGGCTATGGAATGCAGACACATCAGTCTTTGAACCCTCTACGCATTCCGAGATCTCTTCGAGTGACATTAAAATATGTTCAGAAGTAAATTCGTTGATAAACCCAGCAATAAACTCCTAGTAACTCGCATATCGTGCTATCAACCACACTGCACCGATATGAAAGCAAAAAAACAACCACCACACAGGAGTGCAGTTTGATTCCCATGCGAGCCTGCGAGCAAATACATCAAACTAGTGCTTACTAAGCGAGCACGGTGACTACACGTGTCATTCGACACGCGTCCTTATCTTCCTCCTTTCGCATTTGCTTGCAGCATTTAGAGTTGCAGAGCCAGACCCAAACAGAATCGCGGGAGCGGTGGGTTCAACTAGTAGTCGCGTAAGCATCAGCATCTCGTAATGACATCATTGCCGAGAACGAGGCCCGGGCTGATTATAGGGCCACGACGACAGACGCCGTCGAGGACGATGAGGATCTCTTGATTGTTCCTGCTGAGGAGCAACAGGAGCTGCCTAATCCATGGCCTATCAACACGGACACTCCTATGATCAGCCTCTTCAGAGGCTATAATGCACTCACTCCCGGTTCACGTGCTGGATTCGAAGCTCTAGTGCAGTGGCGAACAACTGTCATTGTTTCCTCGTATACAACATGTCCTTTGTTTCAATGCAATCTCTCCTCTACAGCTTCGTATCACTTCTGAGTTCACCGTGGTAAAGTTTATAGCTTTCGGATACTGAATACATCATTATTTGTATCTTGATCTTATTTAACCTGTCAATTTGAATGCTTGCATTAAACGCACAAGTATCTTCCTGTCGTTCTTGTGCGTCACCTCACCCCTTCAGCTCAGCGAGTGACTAGTAAACGCATACGAAGAGCAACTGCCAAGCGGTGAGTAATGTAGTTGAATCCGGGCCGCAAACTACTCATACTCACGCAAAGTTCGTGCGGACAGTATTTACAAGTTGACCCATAGAAGCACCAGCTGGGGCAAGTGCCAGCGTCACTGGCAGATATCAATGTTGCTAAAGCAACAACAACGGCGAGGACGAAATAGACACGCATTGTTATGAGGATGTGATGGAGGATCAAATCAAATATTTTGGAGGACGATATAGAGGATGCCTCTTTTATGTAGTCTTCGTTATTGAGCAGTTGCTGTAACTGTTTGGCGCGCGGTCCGACTCCAGGGGAACTCTGAATATCATGAGGATCAATGACCTATCCACTGGAATTACCTTTTGAATAGATGGTATCTGCAATGCCAGCAAATTGCCAGCTAAGAGATCTGCGTTGTGTAGTAAGGTATTGACAATTAGGTATGGAACAGTCAAGATACCTACCTGTGAGTCTCAGATAGCACGATAATTCGCACTTACTGGCATCTCAGTGTGAGTGTAAATCCATTTCAAGGTTACATTCGTGGCAGAAGTGGCTAGTGAAGGTCAACACATTAGTTGACGAGTTTTACACAAGGTCCAATCTGTGTCATTACAACGTGGCGTTACCGTTACTATGATTTTAACGTCCTAACATAAGTACCAAGTCCAACATCCGATAACACTGTCCTCTGATACATATCCACAACAACATGACACGAGGCAAGACGCAAGTAGTTTTCTTGGCATTGCCTTCCGTTACATGTCCTGACATGGTGGCATAAACTCATACCCATGGCCCGCCATTCAATGGTTCATGTCGAGTGCGTACAATGATACCCTAGGAACAGGCATCACGGTCGTAGGCAGCTTCCGACTTGGGCGAACAGGCTGATCCATTTGGGGATCGTCTGTTATTACAGGTTCTGGTAACTTGCGACTTGAATATGAGTTCTGCCTGTTGTGGGTCGTCTCCTGCGAAAAGTAATGGAATCATGCATTGATGATAACAGCTCAACCACTGACTGTGTTATAATCAAGAGATGGACTTTTCGCTTCATCTCTTGTTAACGACGCTGATAAGATATGCATCGCCTGATCGGATGATTTAGAGCCGCATAATCACTGTGACCAATTACACACACCTTATTATTAGGTTTTGATGGCCGTCCCAAAGACGCATTGCTGAATGCGCGAGAAAGAGTGAGACGCTCCCGCCTCAAATCTTGATACTCTGATAACGTTTCATCCAGTCGGTTGTGCAGTTCTGCCTGCTCCTTGCGAAGCTTCGCAGCCTCCGCTCGGAAAGAGTCTCTCTCCCGACGAATCTCAACGAGATCGCTGAGTAATCTAGCGTTATCTGCCTGAAGTTGTTGAATGACCTTCCGTTGACGAGAGTGGACGCTTTGTAACTGCTCGATCAACATTGTGGAGGGCTTTTCCATGGCGTTCGGAATGGAGAATGCACAGAAGGTCAGAATTTCGAAGTGGCTTGGGCGTCGATCACCGGAGGTAACTTCTCTTTTTATTAGTGGAACGATATCACACCACTACGCATCACCATCAGGACAGCATTATGGTTGATCTGAAAACGTGCACACCCACCAGAAGCCCCACGTAGCTAATACTAGCAGTGACATGTTGTATACGTTAACGACTGTTGTTCCGGGGTTGAAACGTTGACCGGCGTGATGGGACGATAGGTTTCTATTTTCGCTGCTGCATCTCATGGTATAATTTGTACCTGGGCTGTGTTGCCGTTGATTCCTTTGATGTGCTCGGTGCAAGGGTTATAGAGTCTGTGCACTGCTTCTGACTGCCTCCTGTTGAAGAAGGCCGATATTGACACTGCGATTGTGGCAGATCATGATGTGATCATGTAATCCCGCATGTAGGGCCTTGTGCTAAGTAGCTGTGCATCTCGGATGCATCAACACGTATCAATAAGCGCCAGCATGCAAGTTCAATGTTACCGTAGCATCGCGTTGCAGGATATCCGAGTCAATGTCCGCGGCACAGCCTGAGGATCTGCCAGTGGATGAGTTCAGCGCTGTGTGGAAGAAACCTATAGAAGACAGTGAAGTTGTTCCGGCCTTGAACAGCCTTGAACCCGTCGGTATGAAGATTAAATATCAAGTGCTCAAGTGATAAGAAACCTTTAAGCTTCGTGCTGTTGAGCCAGAATACTTACTGTGCTAGTAATACTAGTACTTTGTGTTTTGGCTGGCTTTTAATGGGTCGGCAATTAGAAAATTTAGAATCGAGTTTGAAAATGCATCGCCATGACTCGGAGTCTCGGACGTTCAACGTTCAACTTCTCGCGATCGCGCAGGGCTAGCAACACAAGGATAGGAATTTAAATGTCCCTCTATCATCATACACTGAGATATCCAGAAGGTGTGTTTTTGTGTTTCAACCATGTCTTGTATATTTTCCCACGCATCTACTTTGCTTCCACAGCACCTGATTCGAGGCTTGTCAGCTTGAGCGATAGTCCTATGTGCTCCAAGTTTCGGATCTTTAACGCATCCTATGTTTGTCTCCAAAGACATATATATTTTTGCATCGTCCCTGACCACCTGACATGGCGTCGGCTTTTTGTTCGGAGATGTGACTATTCTTGGTGACCACACGTAATTACCCCACTATCAGCACTATCATAGTACAGATACGAAAGGCCAGGCCTCCAGCGCGTGCTTCGGTTACGCACTTCTTCTATCAAGCGCCTCATGCTTGCTCGGATTCAGTACTTAGACGTGCGGGCTAGTCGCCGAAAAAGCGACAGCGGCGCGCCGTTAAGTATGTAATACTTCATTCCACAGGGTCTCCAGCTCCAGACCATCCCTTCTCCAGCTGGTAGCGCGGCTACTCTCGCCCGACCATCGCCGCTCGAAGTATATGAATGCCCTCGAGCTTTCCTCTACTCATGTTTTCACACTTCGTCACCATGAAATACTGGCTTGTGTTTGGGGTCTTTGCGTCCTATATATCTTCTGTGAATGGCTATAGTCTCATCCGCGAATACTCGGGGCAGAGCTTCTTCGATCGCTGGGACTTTTACAACGATTATGACAACCTAACTGCAGGTGAGCATCGTATCCGCCATTCCTTATATTCTGCTACAGTATAAAACATGATGCAGGTAATGTCATGTGGGCCAACGAGTCCTATGCAGCCAGTCAGAAGCTGGCGTACATAGACAGTCGAGGAAATGCCATTATCAAAGTGGACAACACAACAAACGTGCCTTTGGGCCAGAACCGTAGCACAGTACGCAAAACACAAGAGGCGAGCACCGGGTACTTATTAGCGCTCGACAGGTTCGCATAACAAGTCAAGACACATATGATATCGGAAGCGTTTGGATAATCGACCTCAGTCACATACCGTTTGGATGCTCGGTATGTTATGAGACTTGATTCACTTGCTGTTAGTATCTGAACTATTTACTTGAGGTATGGCCCGCATTTTGGACTTTTGGTGCGCGTGATGCCGTTGGTTTTGATTTCACCCACTGACGCGACTTTGTAGGGCCCAACTGGCCGGAGGATGGGGAAATAGATATCATCGAGGCCATCAATATGATGACTTTTAACCAAATGAGTATTCATACCACGCCAGGATGCACTGATAATGGATCAGAATATCAACTTGGTATAAGCGGTCCAACGACCGACTGTTCTCAACCCCCTGGATGCACAGTGGCGGAAACTTCTCCGAATAGTTATGCAGGCGATTTTGCGGCAGCTGGTGGGGGAGTTTGGGCAACGCAATTTGATGTATCGGGTATCTTGTACGTAGTTGCACGTGTTGCATCCTCACCATCCTTATGGCTAACAATCACTTGTAGTATCTGGTTCTGGAGTGTGCGGCGTACTCCTGGGTTTAATAAATATTGTAATGTGCTGACATATTTTTCAGCGCCCCAACATACCTGCTTCCATCAATCAAGCTAACTCATCTTCGGTGGACGTCACTCAATGGGGAACTCCGCATGCCAGTTATTTTTCTAACACATGCAACATTACCCAGTTCTACACCCCGCAGAACCTGGTTTTAGATATTACTCTTTGCGGAGTCTGGTGAGTCCTGCCATACCTCGTAGCGCATGACCTTCATAATCATGTTACATATAGGGCAGGTGTTGGATCAAACTATGCTTCGACGTGTGCCAACGCAGGTCCAACAGGTCAATGTGTGAGTGCTCATAGCTGAAAATGACATTTTTTATCTCAAACGCTTGTCATACAGTACGAGGACTGCGTAGTCGGGCCTGGAAGTCCACGATATGATGATGCATATTTCAACATATCATATGTTCGTGCATATACCTCTGCTCTACCATCTGCCACTGCCACTGGAACGACAACCACCCCTCCTACAAGGGTAACGGCTACACGTCAAAGTGGGAAATCCACCCGGAACTACGATAACAATGGGTGGAGCGCGGTAGTGATGTTTCTCATTGCGGCCCCGATTGCCGTGATCGGTTCATGGCCACTCATGTTCAAAAAGCTGCATTACCGTGGCATGCCAGTATAACCTGCGTAGTTTTACTTCACTCTTGACTGCTTATGACTCAGGGATGATCGAGATAACTTATGACTGCATTTATATCTAGATTGCACGATGGACAAGGGACAGATTGATGTAGTATTATTATGGACATGTGAACAACAGACTTTCTTTTGTACCATGATCATGTGTACAGATGGACACTGTCATGCTGCGGCAATCTATAGCTTCAAAACGTCCTATGGTTGACCTTCACATGTCCTTGAACAATTTTTTCAGGGGTACGATATTACATAATACTTTTCTTTTGTGTGCCGGCAGTGAACTTTGCTAGCTTCGCGCAGGAACGAATTCGGTTCCCAGATAACACATTTTTGTCGGCTGGCTTTGTCTGGAGTAATCTGGACCTGGTAGTTTGATCATTCTAGAAACCAAGGATCACACAGTCAACGAGTAACCCAGTCCTATCGCCCCCCGTTCTCTTCTCCGATGTGATCTTATTCTGGCTTCGACGTTCTTTTCGAACAACACGTTCCCTCACGTCAATTCGCGTGGAGTTTCGACGTACCTTTCATCAAAACTTCCGTACATTTCACTGATATCGCTCTTATTCGCAATAACGATGTGAGTTCTTCTGCGATTTTCCCCCTTTTGTTACCATTGAGACCAAAGATATACGGCATTGCTTCTCGGTCAGTGGTAAAAGTGCGCTGCCGTGCAAGGCACGAGCGGCAGGAAGACGGTCGGTCCAACGCAACAGGGGCTGTCGCGGACAGTGCGGAGGGTGCACATGATGATGGGTCTCAACTCTTGCTGTGCAAGGACGAACACAAACGACATCCTGCTACCGTCACTGAAGATCAATCAGACAGTGCGATAGTAGTAAGATGCTGTGGCTTTCATCTTGTTCGTCGTCGGCCCAGAGCGAATTGGCAATCTGGTGTTTCAAAAGGACCCCTTAATCTTCTTCGCGTGCCTATCGAACTATAACATTCCCCGCATAGCATGATTATTGATTTACGTATCCTAGGCACAAACTCTGGCAAACAAATGCTCTCTGTTCGCTCCAGGTTCGCTCCCGCTTGCTACATATGTAATACCAGCTGTTTGTTCTCGTCGTCATCTCCTCTATCAACTGACCCATGTCCATCACCTCAACCGATGCGAGTCGTTAGCTGTACGACTATGGCTGAAGATCACGCATCATGATCCTCAGTTTCTTCTATGAATAGTTCGACTCCACTTTTTTGCCAAGCTTTTCCCTCGTCTACAATCATCGATATCGATCATCATCAATACGCCACTTTTCTGTTGATCGCCATGAGGCGCAACTGCAAGGCCAATTGAGCCAACATATATTAATAGTTGTGCGTTATCTCTAACTGCTCGATATTATCTGGGTGACACGCTATGGCAGACATCTAGATGCATATTCAAAGTTCGACATTGCAGTGAGTACTTGAGTAATGACTAGCTAATGACAGTTAGATCTGAGAAACCGGCCAGGTCCTTGGAGGGGATCAAATGACCCCTCTCCTCAAAGCAGTCCGATTGTGCAACTGCCATCCATGAGAGCATCATGGAATAATCGGGCAACTCGTCAAGAAAGATTACCTATAGGGTCCATCAACTCGTGAGCCTAAATAAGTATGATACACAGTACTACTATGAGTCCTCTTTGTATGTCATGGCATCACGGTCAAGGCTGGAGACGCGTGCATACTCGAGGAATAAACTTGAATCGACCGGTCAGGATGACTACCTGTTGAGAAAGATGGATCCTACCGAAACGTGTATGCTGTCAGATCTTCCCGTCTCCAGTATCTTTGGCTCCATTCGCGCCCGGCTGTTGCTATCTTCTTCGCCAACTCGTCATGCGCACCTTCTCCTTGGGGTCCCCCACGAAAGAAAGTAAATGTATCATATAAATCAGACAAATCAACCTGTACGGGTACATAGTGCACCCAAGGCGCAACTCGATCCATAAACCTAAGAACACGACTTGTTTATTTCGCACGAATCAAATGAAACGAGCACTCACCACTCAGGATATATCGTAGCTTTGAATGGAAGGGCATTTGACGTGATGAGCCGCTTGAACCGCCCTGACCACCCATGTCCATCGATCTGAAAGTAGCGAATAATTAAACGCAATCGTCGAATCGAATCCAAGACTAACATCAAAAACATATTTATAATGGCCAGCCTCTTGAAGCGTCTGCATTTTTCTCCAGTCATAAAGTCTATCCAGCTGATCACAGAGGTCTAACGCGCAGGAACCTGCCTTTCCGGCGAATTGAATGTCGATTAATGCAGGATTGAGGTATGCTTTGCGTATAGGTACGGGCTCTCCAACAGGCTCAGAGTCATTCAGAGGCGAACGAAGCACATCCGCTGTTCCTGCCATATCGTTGACAAACTGTATTAGATGGTCTCTGTGCCCTTGCCGCCACCTGGTATGGGTGCCATGAAATATGCCAGTATTAGTACCGCGCCAGAGTAATCTTTCGTCTATCCTCTCTTCCCATGGCGGATTGTCTGAGACAGGAAGGTCCTCGACCCAGCCATAAGGGACAGCCGGTCGAATATCATGATGAACCACTGTCGAACAGAGAGAAAAACGAGGAACGAGTGTGTTTCGGGGATCTGGTCCTTTATCATGTGACAGAAACTGGCCGTGGTTGTGGAGAAGAGAAGGATTCAGGCACGGGTCCATCGAGAGGCGGTGGTCGGAGATGAAGGTTTTGTTAGGTGCACGCTGAGGGGGGTTATCAAGATCAACGGGATGTTGCCACGCTGGAGATGATGATTGGCAGGCAGAGAGCCATCCAGACCGCTGTGCCGGTGGTAATTCATTCTGTTTTAGAGCTTAACATCGTGTGAGCAAAGCTTGTTGCAGCGCAACAATCAATCAAAAGGGACGTACTGTGACCAGCGGCAGCCGCTTCAAGCGCCATCGATTTGATACCATAATCTGATAGCATACTGGGATTGTCATGAGGCGAAAAAACGGCGCGGAAAGGAGGAAGAGCATCTTCTACATCCTGGAGGAGTTTCAGTACATTGTTAATGCGACCAATAAGCCTTTCGGTAGCATCTTGTGGCAAATGGTAGTCGACGATTTCGATGAAGGAGTTTTGACCTGTTTTTGCAAGAACAATAGTATTTTCTTGTGCCTCTAGTTGCTCTCTGTTCGTCTGGAAGTCCAGGGGGTCAATACCCCAGTAAGGTTCCAGGTCTTTATATATCTCGTCGTATTCGTCTGGAAGTTGGACGTTGTTTGCCACTACATAATCCCACCTACAGGCCCAACGGGAATTTTTCTATGAAGCTCGTTCAAACTTGGTTTCCATGCTGACCACGTACCATTTTTCGAAGTGAATTGGAGGAGGCCTGTGATATCTTCGTTTGTATTCTGCAACAGCTTCGGGTAGTGTCTTGCTTGCGCTTCCGAGCTTCTTCGACCAAGCCTTCTCCGCTCGCTCTATAAGCTCAAGAATCGGATGACGTCCATTTGGGTTGACTATGACCAACCCGTCATCGCCGTAATAGTGATCACTGAGGGGAAGGGGCTGACGTTCCTCCTGCACTTGAACAGTGTCTACAATGTCATCAACCAAGTCTAGTTGATCATCCTCTGCAAAATAATCGTGAGATATGGGAGGGAATGGAGACGTGGGAGAATCTGGGTCCAGTGTTGATATTACAAGTTCGAAGCTGTTATTGGGTGGTACAAATACGACGTTGCGCAAGGTGATCCCTAGAACGCAGGAAACCACGATGATTGCAACGGACCTGTGAGAGACTCGACCCATGGGGGTGCCGGGGAATGGTAAGTGAGAGAGAGTCGCTCACGGCCATTATAATGAAATTCATGACAAGTCAGGGAGGGTAGAAGCCTCGTCGGATCAGCACTCGGAGATGATATTACTTTTTATGAGGTAGCTGGCACCCAAGTTTGGGTCGTATAAGTCTAAATTTATGTGTTTGGCTTATCAGAGTAATCAACGTATCAGGGACTTACTGAAAACCGGGAGAACCTTTGGAGAATCATTTTAGAACTTTGTACGTATACTTGCAACGTTCACACACGCCTGGGAGCCTCAGTATAAACAAACACAAATACACTATATTTGAATGCCGTGCTGATGCTGAGATGCGTTTCACCTTCTGAAAGAGAGTCCGGCGCTGGTATCTGGTCAGTCGAGGAGAGAAGCTGACTGAATAGGTGAATGATTCCCAACCTCGACCTCCGAGGAAGCGAATGCGCTATTCTCCTGACTGAGATGAATTTAGATGATACCCAAGTCTCCTGGCTCTTCTCACTCTTTCAATACACTACTTTTACTCGCTTTTATGGTTAGCTTTAATGCATATTTAGTATCTGTGACGTTAGTACTAGTAGTTCTGTCGTTTTGCCTCGCCATCTTGCTCATGATTATCCAGAGGGGACCAATTGCAAGTCCTTTATCAATTTGTTCCTGTTCCCAAGTATATACATCATCCCCCCTTGCAAAACCCGGATGATGAATATTTAAATGCAGACAAGAGGCGCTGGATGATGTATTTTGGTTTGTTTACACATGAACCCACGTACAAATCGGATAAGGGGGTGTAAGCATAAGCATAAACCGTAAGCGCGTAAGCTCCCTGGTGTGAACGTCCCCATCGTGGTTACTGCGAGCTCCCAGGACGCTGACTCAGAACCAGATCAAGCAAAGTTCAAGTTTGTCCGAATGTGTACTATGTATCATAGGTGAATTGAAGTTGAAGTTGAAAAGAAGTAATGATCAGATCTATTAGCTGCAATAGTATTATATATCCACCCGTTTTGCTCGAGGAGCACGCGAAAGATACGTTGCATACCATCGTAAAAAAAGCTAGTCCTCCTCCATATAAACAAAGTTCTTCCGCATGATGTTAGCACATATCATGCGCATTTGCGCTCATTCCGAAATGAGCTTGATGCATCTTGGCTTGACATGTTCCCAGACCAAAGCGATGAATTTTCTGAATCGTTGGACCCCTGCCCTCATTAGCAAATGATGCATCCACAACATCCCGATCCCACGGTATCGTCACCTTCGCGTACGATCTCCGGGTCGTTGCTTATTACTGTTCCCCTACGCGAAAATGCATTGCTAAGGCGTCTCTTCTTCATAGTGTCGTCAACCGTTGAGATGTTGGAGGGGCGAATGGAAAGATGAACGATTGTAGGCAGGGAAGACGAATCCGACGGTACAGAAGTTGG